TGGAATTATGGAAGGAAAAGACGACCGGCAAGTACGAGAAGAAAGTCTATGTGCTACCCAAGCATCTGGATGAGAAGGTGGCAGCGCTTCACCTCGGCAAGCTGGGTGCCAAGCTCACCAAGCTTACACCATCGCAGGCTGATTACATTAGCGTCCCGATCGAAGGACCCTACAAGCCTGCTCACTACAGGTATTAGGGTTGCTTATGCAAGAGACGATGATAATAAATCGGAGCACTGGCATTTTCGACTAGAGTTTGAGCGATGGCTATGTTCGTTTTGCTTTTCACCTTTTGTCTTCCCATCTTTGCTGGTTCACCTATTGGACGTTTGTTCCATTTGGAAGTAATGAGAAATGCTGATGGCATTTTTGGAATAATTTGGCTGATAGTAGTCGGTCTAATGGTCTGATAAACCTGTAATGTTTGCATGGGTACGCACAATCTTAGCTCCCTTCCTTTCTTGAGTCTTATATAAAGTATTTCTATTAATATTTAAGTTTTATATCAACACTAACAAACTTACTGCAATACAAAAACTATGCAAAAAATATAGTATAAGAAAATATTGAAAATAATTTGAGATGGTACAAATGTAGGAAAAAGAAACTAATAATTAGTACATATATACATACTTAGTGTGAAGACAAATTCACATAAGCATCTTAAAAGCTTATCCAATGCTAGATGATAAACCTAAATCCCACAGAATTCTGCTATGACTTCCATTATCTCTTGTGCCAATCTAAAATGGAAGAAAGTTCATATCAAAAGACAAAATGAATTGTCAACTCATTTGCTAGTTCAAGCATCACAAGCATTTGCACAAGCAAATGTAATAGGCAGTATATAGAGGGAAAAAAGAATTTAAGAGTACCATTTGTTGTGAGATGTGATGACAAATTCCTTGTTTATGCAGAAAGATCACTACCCAGACCTGTAAAATGACCATGTAGTGAAGTCTTGACAAGTTAAGTTGATGCAATCATGTGAATGCAAAGTCTGCATTCTGCTTTCTTTGAACTCTGGATAGGGAATACCGATATTTTCATCTAAAAAAGAAATCTGGAACAAGTATACATTCAGTCCTATCTGCATTTCATAAATCAACAAACGGTAATAAAACATTAATTTATATCAAAATCTCATCACTTTCTAAGAATGAAAAACCCTAATCTTCTTCGTGTCTCATAGATCGACCAATCTGTATTATGGCCCAAAGGAATTTAAATAGGAAAAGAAACATGTACAAGACTGGTTCTGCAGATTTACTCTCTGTGCTTCATTCAGATTGGTAGAACAAAGAAGGTTCTAAACCTGAAGCAGCAACAAGCTTATGACAAGTTGAAGCAAAATAAATTAAATAAAATCCGTAGAAGATTTACGATCAACATAAGACACAGTAAGTAGCTTTTGTGATAAACCAACTTGAAATATCTTGAAAAAATAGCAAACAAAGAAAAAAGAGGAAAAGGACTTTCTAAACTTGGCCCCTAAAATATCAATGAGATCAAGGAGTTTAACATAATAAGCAATATTAATAAACAGATACAGGATGCTCCTACATCCGACACCACCAAACTGATGTCGCAAAAATGCAAATGCATCGACTCAATCCAACGGGCACATGATCTGAGAAGGTACTAAGTGCTAAAACAATTCTCCAACAGGCACATGATCTGAGAAGGTACTAAGTGCTAAAACAATTCTCCTGCTATAATTAAAGAAGAAAATAGCATCAAGATGAGAGGGTTCACATGATTCGGAGAATGACAGAAATTCTTTCCACAACATGAACGCTGCACAGGATCATCTAAAGAAATATCAAGTAGCAGCAAAGAATAAAATCCTAGATCTAGTGCAACTATTTAAATACTAAATTCTTCTACCAAGTAGTATCTTTTAGAATGAAACTAGAACTCGAAAATCAACTGATATCACCAACTTCCAGTTGGATACAATTGGAGAAGTAATGTCAGACCTTATACATAGACTAATGTGGAACTTCACGACATTATAAAGCTAAAATGAGAGAGGAATATACACAAGGATATTGGTCAAAAGAATCACTGGGTGAAAAAGGAAAAACCAGCCAAAAAATGAACAAAGAAACAGGCATGCATTGCAAACTCATGCAGCTACACAGGCATTCAACTCCTAGCAATTTACACAAAAATCATAGAAGCACAAATAAAATTTTTAGTATACTTCAATCATCTAGAAATTGGATTATATTATAGAAATACTGATTATAGGCTAGGTCCATACCCAAGTACATAGGAAGAAAGACATGTAAGAAACACATTTATAATTGCAACCAAAGAAATTTTACCACATAAGTTTAGAACTCATGCCATTAAAATATTACAGCTATTGAGATCAAGATGCAAAAGAATGGCTGTGCAGAATGCAGATTTGTAGAGTTGGACAGAAGCCACCGATATCGTTGGAACCTATGACAAACCACATCTATTTTAATATTCTTCAACATTGCTGCTCCTGGCTTGTCATAGTCATGTGGAAATTATACTGCAACAATCCACATTTGCTTGGAAGGTTTTGACCCATGAAAATATAGAAGGCTTACAATATCAAGATGATAAAGCTCGGAGGGTAACATCTTAAATTTTCTCTGATCTATGCTAACCATCAGAAGAGAACATACCTTGATTGTTAATTGAAGTTTCTGTTACAAACAGTTTATTACTGGAATCAAAAGAAACCCCAAACATCACATCCACACAAAGAGAACTCTGCCCTCAGACTAGCAAACAAAACTTCCCATTTTATAACATATTTTTCAAACTTGAAAGTTGAAAAAATGGTTGTGCTAGCTTAAAAGCAATAACAGGATGAAACTTATAAGGTATAGGAGAAAGTTTTAGCACAAAGCACTATAAAAAACTTTGGATCATGCACCTTCATTCCATTTCCTGCACATCAATGGTCTAAAATTATATTAATTGACTCCTGTATGGCAAATAATGTATCAATCTGCAATATCTAGCTATATGCTGGACAAAAATGTTAATTAGCATCCACTGATATAGAAGGCCCCATAAATTGTCACCCATTATAAGGTAATGATGAACCAAAATATAAAATCCTAATGGAAAAGAAGGGTGAGAATTACAAAATTCATAGAAAATAGATTGCATAAAAAGATTGGTGGAAGTAAGAAACTCATTAATGACTTTCATGTCTTGGTCCTTTTATCTTCAACCTACCAACACTTTGTCCTGGAATGAGGTTTACGAAGCTATTCATCAGTTGGATAGTTGAAGTCCTCCCAGGATCCACAGTTTACAACCAAGTTTTAGTTCAATTATCTTATCCATGCACGAATGAGAACAAACAGGTAGAAAAACAGCAAGAGCATAAAACAACCTGCTGGCTCTTGGTCTTGATAAAATGCTTAAGACATTGGTGTTGCAGCAAAACAGTCTTTTTAATATCATGTTGACATGTGGATAACAACAGTTGTAGCAGTACACATGCTCTCAGATTGTTAACATATGCTCTTACTGATAAGGCCTGTGATTGTTAACCCAGCAACATTACACACAATGACTATAAGATTACCAGACTAAAACCAAAAACTCCTTTCCTTATTCTTTATTATTTCCTGAAAAATCGAAGAAAAAAATTAAATGTCAAGAAGTTTCCAACTCAGTGAGCAGTTCCTCTTATCAAGATGAACAATAAAATAAACCAAAACCCAGGGAAATGGAATACTATTCCATCAAATAGCAGAAATATTTTTTCATGTAACATTGAACGGAGAAAGCCCCACATAAAAACCACAAAATAACATTGAACTACAGCTCTGGCAGCAAACAAAATGCAAAAAACAGAACCAAAAGGTCTAGAAAAAATATACAAATATACACACATCAAAATGAGAGAGACCCTCTGTATGAGGCTCCCATACCGGGGGAAAACACAATTAAAGACCTTGAAGTCGGAGATAAAAGGACACAAAAAACCAAAAACAAGCTCTTGATGCAAAATCAGTGAATAGGATGGAATGGAGAAAAAGTCCAAGCAATTGGCTCTTGCAAAGGGAAAGAAGACAATGATAATTGTGATTTGGGTCAAAAGTCGGTAAGTGTATGGGCAACAGCAACATGGGCACCTGCAAGAACAACACAGCGGACATCACGAGCTGTAAGAGGCCACACAATCTAACACAGAATAGCCATCGATTTTGTTATCTGTTCAATTAGACATTCTGTCCCAATTTGTATCTTCCATCAACTCATTAAGGGGCATTTTAAGATAAACAGACTCAGTACGTACTTTTGAATTTACAAGGGTGATGTAGAAATCTGCCTCCAATTGTATCACTACAGAGTTGAACCGTATCATTCACCTTAAAGGTGATGCCTTTCTTGCTGCCTCCACTTTTATCACTATAGTCAAATTGTATCATGAAGAGACAATCATCTACGTAAAAATGCTGCCTTTGTCATTTTTATCTTCTCCACTTTTATCACTACAGATACAAATTATATCATTACCTCCTTTATGCAGTCAACTAATATGCTAATAGGTTGATGCCAATTGCGATCGACCGAGGAGTTGTTATTAATATTTCCAGACTCATGTTTAATACCTCTTTACACACTGTTCATTTTATCTTAAGTAGTCTGAGGCCGCTATCTTAGAGAGGGTGCCAGTTCTTGAAAGTAGATTTTTCAAAAGTGACTTACCACTAAATTTGAAAGTTACTTTGGAAAGTGCCTCATCCAGAAAGTGGCACTTTTTTTTATTTCACCACTCAAGGATAACTAAGCAGACTCTGGTGTGATATAACAAGAATGGTCAATATATCCTATAAAGAGGAACTATGGGATGTATTCAAGTTCAGAAGATGATAACATAAGGCAAACATAACATAAGCCAAATACCAAGTGAAAACAGATAGCATTTTAGCATGCTAATCATCAACATTTCATGCCCATGATGGACAGAATTTCAAAGGCAATTATGATAGAGTATCATTTGAAGATGAATACATTTCTCATATATGTACTATTTTCATAGTCTCCATTACTATGTTAGCATACATCAAGGCATAACAACTACATCATGCTCAACATATATCAGGTGAAGAATTTATTCTGTAACTACAAGTAACACAAGTATTCTGACTGTAAATGATCAGGTTTAATCCATGATACAAATACAAGAAGTGCAAAAACCAAAGTTTTAGATTTTCCATATGCATTCATTTTCTGTGTCTCTCGTCGTTTTGCTCACCACCAGGATATGCCCTTAAACCAGAGCTTGCCTCTTCATTGTCTGATGATCCTGGCCTTTCAGTCAGGAACTGCTCCCAGAACATATCATTAACTCTAACTGGAGGAACCGCAGGTGTTTCATTACTAGTCCTTGGAGCCTCTTGCAAAGGTGCAGCTCTTGCACCAGCAGAGATCAGCGTGTTGAGTTCATTTTCCTTAGTTGTGACAATATTGTTCATCTCTGACAAATTGGCTTCCTCTTGATTCACTGCATCTGGTATCCTACTTGAATAGTCACTTCTATCTATTTGCATTGCAGATGACGCAAGTGTCAGACTCAAATGGCATGGAAAGATCCCATCCCCATCATCCGCTGTCTTTGGAAACAAAAGATTCTTCGTTGGACAAATGGATGCTCCTGTATCGCAAAGCTCCAGCGTCTCAGGTGCCAGTGTAAGGGACTCTATTGTACAATGACTACGGTTGATTTGCTTTGGACGAGAGCTGCAAGTATCTTCATTGGAGCTCTGAGTGCTTGCCATGACCACATTGCTGTCTAAATAGGCAGAGCACAGTTCTAATCTCAATTTATCACAAAAATCCTGATTGAGTGCATGGCCGAATTCAAACTTGGATGTGCTGCAATGGTCATCGCATAAGCTGTTCTCCGAATTCTCCTGGCAGTGATCTGCACCAAGTGGCAATCTCCTCTTCTTATGGATCACCGAGAAGTCGATCGACGAGGATGACACCATCTTCACAAGATTCTCCATCAACCGAGGGTTCTGCATGACACGCTGCAAGAAGGCAACCATCTTGAGTTGCCGCTTTTCCATATCTGCTACTCTCCGCTCGACATCACCAAGCTGAATCTTAGTCCCTGAGTGCAGCTGTTCAAACTTCTGGACAGCCATCTGGAGGCTGGCTTTCTCCCTTTTGAGCCGATCAATCTCCTCCTCCAAAGCAATCCTCTCGGAATCAGCAAGACCACCACCCGGCGGGCGGCTGTGGCTGTGGATGGGCTTGCGTCTATAGATGTTCTTGAGCAGGTGTTTCTGCCCCTTGATAAAATCCTCATTTGCAAACTCCCACCTCTCCGAATCAATCTTTCGGAACCCCTGCATCAACAGATTCGGTATGAACCTCAGATTCAGAATCTAGTAAGCACGAAGGTGAGAAATTTCCCAAAACGCCTGCACAAACGTTAATACTTGTTGACCTCGTTCTCCGTTCATCACACAACCACGTAATCAAACTCCTAAAATCATATGCCAAAATCAGATTTTGTGCTCAATTTTAGGTGATTCGCACTAGAACCAACAAAAAACGCAGCAGCAGATTCTACAAAATCAAGCAATCAAGGTGTCATGATTTCGGGGAATCTCTTTCGCTTACGTAAGTATTGAGCTGGCGGATGAAGCTGGAGAAGTTGTTGTGCTTGAAGTAGGTAGGGAGGAGGTGGGCGGCGAAGTCGGGAGGATTCCAGACGACGAAGCTATTCATGGAAGGACTCCACGAGACGACGTCGTTGGTGGAGGCGTCGTCCACCATCTCGTACGTCTTGAGGAGGAAAGGAGCAGGGCCACCGGCGCTGCCGCCGTGCTCACCGACTTCCGTTTCCATCCTTCCTTCAGGCCTCTTCCAGGATGGTGGAGATGGTTGGTGAAGACTCGGGGAGGGTGGAAGTGGACTTTGTTGGTGCGAGTTAGAAAAACTGCTCCTCCACCCAATATATTAATCCGATTCCGTCCGAGCTTACAATTGGACTTCATTGGGCTTTGGGTGGGTGGGCTTTCGATTGGACTGCATTGGGCTTCTCGACATCCATCTGTTGATTTTAGATATATAAATAAATATATATATATATAATCTTCTTTTTATTATATAATATATATATATATAATTTTTGAACGAGAAACTATCAAACTAAATCATTTGTTTTGATAACAAACGTGCTCTTTGGTATTATTCTTCAAGAAGATTTATTTAAGTGATGATACTCTCTTTGTCGTCATCGAACGTTACTCTCTTTGTCATCATCGAACGTCAAAATTTCATCGATGATTGACAGTGTTAGAGTTCATTTTATCTTTATATCTTAGAGTAAACGTGTCTTTGGAAAGGAAAGAAGCTACGAAAATTATGGATAATTTGTTGTATAAAATACTGGAGGAAGGATTTTACAAAATACTTTGGGTGTTCTTGAATTTATATTAAAATATAAATTAAAAATAAATAAATTTATAGGTTTTTAGTTTCTTCCTTGTATCGTTGGTCTCCTGATCTCAAAAAGAATATTAGCAAACTCCATGGACATCATCAGATCATGGAGATTTATTGTCACCACACAGAACAAACGTTTCAGAATAAACGCTTACAGAACTACGACACCTGAAGCTTCAACAACTACAAAGGGACCAGCTGTAGCAAACACGAGGAGCGGCAGCAGCAATTTCATGTTGGGCAGCGGTAGAGGTTGCGACCGCACTGCCTTCCGCCACGCGTCTGACCCGACTTGCCGTTGCAGTTGTAACTCCGGCCATCGCTGCTTACACAGCCTGGGTGATTCTGGTCGAGAGCTCCATAACCAAGGTACGTACTCCCGCCTGCAAGCAGCCTTCTGTTGATCTCCGAGTCCAACTCAAACGCCGAGTCTTCTTCTTCCTCCTCCACTCGGCATCCACGGCCTCCCGTGTCGTTGCAGGTCGAGCGTGCAGCAGCGCCGGAGACGTCCCACGGCAGGACGTCGGCCAAAAGGACCGACGCACACAGCAGGAACAAGTATGGCCGGCGCATCTTCCTCTCCCTTGGTTTCTGGCCATCTGCTCCTCCGAGCTCTAAATAGCCGAAGCCGAGACGGGTGGGATGTAGCCGTCGAGGATTGCACAGGACGTGTATTCCACGGCTCAGATCCGTGGGACGAAGCCATCCAGCTACGATCACAGGCGACGTGTAATTTACGGCTCAGATTCGTGAGATACAAATGCACGTGATGGGTGGGACCATTTTTTCGTTTAAATAAATTTGATTAATTCAGAGGATTTTTTTTTTATCATCTCAAATACTTTTTTATTTCGATTTTCTAAATCCTTCACGGAAGGAAATGAGTGGAGAAATCAAACTAAATTTCATCTATCAATAAAGAATAATTTTTTTATTAAAATTAAATATAAAATAAATCTTCTTTAGAGAACAGATATTAATGAACTGAGTTTGCTTGCCATATATGAGTGGTAGAATAGATTAGATGAGTTTCTTTTGAGTCCGAGAAAATTGATATATTTTTATTTATTATCTTTTTTCTTATCGATTACTTTTTCTTTTTCTCTTTCCTCCTCTATTTTCCAATAAAATGTCATAATGTGGTCCAACAAAAACATGTTTCTTTAATTTTTAGAAGACACTGCGACACTATCACGAGCTTAGTCATGGAAACCAGCCACCTCATCCACGTCAACCATTGTACCATTATCTTCTCGTTATCACACAAGACAATTCTTCCTACCTCCCATCCATAAATTCATTTAAATATTTAATATATTTTTCTACTAATATAATTTAATATATATAATTTATTCCATAAACATTACCACATCTTTGTGTCTTTTTATATTTTAACTCCTTTTTTTTATCTTCATCTTCGTCAATATATTTCTTAACAAGAATAAAAATTTACGATCACCAAAGATACAATATCAAATATGATATTTTTCAATAATTAAGCGCCTTTAAAATGGAATAAATATTATTATTATTATTATTATTATTGATGAATCATGACAGTTGTTGAATTGAAGTCATGTTCTTAGATTAACTCTATAACACGAATTATGTTTGGCGTCTCAATATTTTCATATATGTTGATTGTATTCTTTTGTATCAATAAACAATCGTGTAATAATTTTATAAATATTTTTATTAGTATAAAAAAGTTACTCATAAGAAAAGTTAAATTGACTAAACATGATGTCTTCCTTCATATCTATGCAAGTTTGACCTTTTAAAAAGTGGATAGTTAATCTTTTTTTTCTCCTATAATATAATAACTATAATCATGATAAAATATAAATCATATTTTTTTAAAAAAATATTATTTTATAATTTTAAACATATATATAATATGAATAATCAAACAAATATTTAAGAATAATAAATTTTTTTTATTACATGAAATATTTTAATCATATGCGTGTGAATTTGCTGACAAATTTTTCCTTTTTTTAATGTAATTCGAAGACGAGTCCTCCGAGAATCATCTATATAAAACTAGTGTCGACGGCTTGTACGATACGAATCCTCTAATATTCAAGTTAATTTAAGATTTTATGTTTAGATAAAAATAAAATAAAATAAAATTTAGGATCTCGAATCATATTCTGAATAATATTATTTCGTCCGGTTGATATATGATCACGCGGACTCCCACAACATGTCATGAATCTATTACGAGCAGATGAAATCGTACAGCTCAACTTAAGCTATATAGAGAGAGCTCCGAGAACGGAGAGGAGAGCAACAAGTGGAATAACACGGCAAAATAGAACAGAAGCAGCAAACATAGCAAGTTAGAGTGCGTTGCGCTCGAAATCCATCGTCTTTCAGCAACGGAAGTAGTCGCGACCGCACTCCCTTCCGCCGCCCGTCTGACCCGACTTGCCGTTGCAGTTGTAACTCCTGCCATTGCTGCTTCCACAGACTGCGCGATCCGGCGCGAGAGCTCCATTAACAATGTACCGATTCCCGCCTGCAAGCAGCCTTCTGTTGATATCCGAGTCCAGCTCAAACTCCACGTCTTCTTCTTCCTCCTCCACTCGGCATCCACGGCCTTGCGTCTCGTTGCAGGTCGAGCGTGCAGCAGCGCCGGAGACGTCCCACGGCAGGACGTCGGCCAAAAGGACAGATGCACACAGCAGGAAGAAGAATGATCTGCGCATCTTCCTCTCCTTCGTTTTTGTACTTGTTTGAGCTCTCCTAAATGGATGAACCCGAGACTGGTCGGTTGTAGCCATCTCTGATTATTAAGATCATGCGTTCTACAGTTCTTGCGACCATAATATTATTATCATCTCAAATGTTCAAACGATTGAAGATTTCATCTATCAGTAAGAACAAATACTATCATGATTGACGTGTCTTAATTCACATTTTAGCTCTCTTTTTATCTTGCAGTCGAAACTCACAGAAAAAGAATAATTACAATAAGATCAGATGAGTTTATGAACTGTGGTAGAATCATTAGATGAGTTTCTTTAGTTATGTTTTCTATCTTTTCTCTCATCTATTTTCCAATAAGATAAGCCATCCAATTTTTGGAAGACCACTGCAGCTGCGCCGACGGCTTGGACGAAGGTGCGTGCATCACGGGCTTACCGATGGCCGACACCCTTTTTCGTCTCATTAGCAAACGAGACAGGACGACTCTTCGTCTGCATCCTTCCTTCATCATTCTCCGACATCTCATCCACCCTAAAGCTTTTTACTTCTTTCTACTCGTCCTATAAAATTTGTGAGGTGCTTGTAGCGAGTATACTAAGACTGCTGCTCGTAAGCATGAAGACTTCGTTTTATCTTATGTTCGAAGATTTATCCTCTAAACTCAGACTCCGAGTAGGATGATCGACGCTGTATATGAATTTGATAGAGAAAACGTCAACACTGCCAACTCACCATTCTACAGTGTCCATATTTATACTCTTCTGCCGACAGACGGGCAAAGGAGCTGCCGCCTTCCCTCTACAGCCGCCAGCAGGAGAGCAATCCACTAGCCCCTGCCCGTCTCGATCCCCGAAGAAGAATGACGCAGGAGATCATCTCTTATTTATCCTAGATAGGCTCAAAACTCCGATAAACCATACTATCACGATCGTCCTTTACTAACATTACTCATCATGGGGTGTACTTATCAATTACCATCATCAATGAGCCCCTCAAGGATGCAAGGGGTACGTTATCCTGCCATTGCTGATCGCTTGTGCAGGGCACCAACATGACTAAAGGCGCACCTCAAGCCAATCGTCGCAAGCAAGTAATGCCTCGAGAGTCCACCGGCCACCTCAGCTTTCCGGTCGACCCACGTGGGCTTCCTCGACGGATCTACGCATTCGGAAATGAACCTAAGCCGTGTTAACTCTCCGGTCAACAGCTCGTTCTCTGTATAAAGAAGACACCGAGATCTACGCATACGAGACCTGCTCGTTCTCTGTATAAAGAAGATAACGAGATCTTCCTCAACAATTTAGGGAACATATGAAGCTTGGCTCGTCCGAGGGAGTCGTTCTTATCTGATCAAATCAAGATCTTATGATTAGCAATGAAAAGCACTAATTGGATAACATCATCGACCAAATTTGTTTCCCAAAGCCAACGATACAAAGCAACGCATGCTTTCCGAAGGAAGATGAGGGAAACGAACACCAACGTCGCCACAAGCGTGTTTTCCGGGATCAGAACACAAATTACCCTGATGAACGGCTTCCGTCGGTCACTCTCATCCAGTTCAAGAATGCTTTCACGACGAGAAGCTGTCCAGCGAACGGTAATAGCACACAGGAAGAAGAAGGAGGAGGACGAGGAGATGACAGTTCATCTGATCACCTTTAATTACCCACGCGGCACTTATTGTAAACACTGCAGCCGCGGTTCGGCTGGTTACCCGACCGCGCTGGCAAGCATTTGCCGTAGGACTGCCCACCTCCCGCGTTGCATGCCGGCTTGTCCGGGGTGAGGGCGCCGTAAGAGATATGCCCGCCATCCGCCAGGAAACGACGGTGAGTCTCCGAGTCCATGAGGAACTCCGCCTCCGCGTGGCATTCCGCTATGGAGCCATTGCATCCGACGCCCGTCGCCGCTGGCCGCCTTAACTCGACGCCGCGGACCGTAAGCTCCCAGCTGCTGACAGCAACGAAGAGGAGAAGAGATAGGGGAAGAAGGCGTAGCTCGTTCTTCATGGCCTCCTCCGCTTCTCTCGCTTGTCGGAAGGAGAAGGGGATGGTAATGGATTCTTGGCTCGGTGCGTGCGTTATTGCCGCATACCGGTGACAGAGTGTGACAGGTTGCAAAGTGGGTGGTGGAGAGGACTCTTTTATCCTTCTCGCCACCCCCACTGAGAAGATGGCGAATGTAAACTAAATCATCCACTAGAGACTGTTGTTTGGTCTGTCGATGCGGAAACTAAATTAAATCGAATATAGTGTAAGAAAATAACAAAACAATTACACCAGAAAGAACATTAAACCGATCGACAAGTAAGAGTGGAATCGAAATGAAAAGGTGAGGAAGGAAAGACGCAATAGAGGGAGACAGCCGGAAAGAGACGTGGGGGAGTGATGCGAACAATCGAATAGCATTCCCAATGACTCAACGCAAGTCAATCGTCGGTGGAGTTGGGTGAGACATCACGTCAGTCACATCGGCCCTACAATAATTCATTAAAGCATGTTGTTCTTGTGTTAGTGTCACGAGACCACATTGCGACTGTATTGGTTGATTCGAAATGGTAAAGGTGATCTATAAAGGAAATACCAAATGCTAAAGGGAGTTTGGAAGGATAGGATTGAGACGAAACAGCAAAAAGCAAAAGAGGTTAGTCCACATCGAAAACGAGACATTAGAGAGAGATCAAGATTCTTTATTTCTTGGGGGAATCCCATCTTATTCATGTATTAGATAGATAGATAGTTTCCCTTTAAGAAATTAATTAGTTATAACTCTATTTTTTTATCTTAAATTATTTATCTTTTCTTTAAGTTTAAAAATTGTCAATTAAGGATGGGATAAATGCTTCCTCCCATCCCATCGAAGTTCTAAATCCACGTCGCTTTGACCAGTAGCTTCAGGTCAATCGAATCATGATAAAATGATCCAATAGCATCATTTAGTATTAAATGTTAACAATTTGATCCCTCCAAATAAATCTTATTAGAAAAAGCACATTTAGTATCAACGTCGATATTGTTGTCGAGCGATGAAAAAGCACATCTGCATTAACGACCCTTTTACCATTATGACATTTATATTAGCACCGACGTAAATGCAAATAAATATCGCTCGACGATTGCGTCGACATTAACGTAGATATAAAACGATCATCATCTCTTACCACTACTCTTCTCATCCACAATAGTTACTCACACTCCCAGCGAAACTGTCGTCCACCACCACCAACACCATCCATCACCAATTGAAACATTAAGATTATCATTTTATTTTTTATTCTTTATGTTTCCATTAAGAAAATCAATGATTAGTAAAACAAATGAGTAAATAAACCTAAACATTTTATTTTTGAAGGAAGAAACCAATTAATTAATCATCTATGGCAGAATGTCACAGAATATGCCAGCCTCATACACCACGTAACCATGCAAATGACGTGGTGGGAGCTTTGCACCATAGGATCAGGCAATATGAACCCGTACGGATCAAATTATACATATAAGTTTGAGATATTCAAGACTTATTAGCATTTTCTACATCTACATGTCATGAATCGCTAACATAACTAGCATGTGGATACAACCAATTCACGGTACATATTGCTACACTTATGTTGTTTGAGGTTACAACAATCTCTTTTTCTACTTGTGATACAAACATGGAGAAGAAACCAGCCGAGAAATGTTTCAGATGTTGCATCGATCGTAACCAGAGAACCATGAACTGGGATTTGTGTCCTTGGAAAAGTCAGCATCATCTCTGTTGCAGAAAGGCTCGAATTCCTCTCTCCATCTCTGATCAGTGAGACTCTCGCCTCTGGTTTTAGGGTCGTTGAACACCGTATACGTGAGAGCTTCCCTGGGCAATCGTGAGTCTGAAAGAAGCTGGTTTAGCAAAGAAATCTCTCTGTCATAATTCTTCTTCAAGTTATCAATCTCCTGGTATGCCTTCTCGGTCTCCTGTTCTGCCATACATGCTCTTTTCTGCAGGATAAATAAATAAGGTTTCTGTTAAACACTACTATTGCACCGGGAACAGACAAAGGATAACCCTCAATTGAACTCCATGCTCCACCAGGATATAGCTACCTAGAAACAAAAGCTACATGTACATTGCATTATCTAGTCAGTCTTGCTTGCTCGACGAATCAATTAAGTTTCTTTGGCATCGAATTGTTTTCTAAGTAATGGCAAACGATTATACACATCAAACTTATTTAGTGATACACGTATCAGTGATGGGGAAAACGTAAACTTATGCATTAATAAGTTGTAAGGAGAATCATGCAGATGTATGTTACAGCAAACAGAAACATACCTCGGCGGTTGCAACAGCTTCTTCTGTTTCCTTCAGCCGCACGAGCAATTCTCCAGCAGCCTGTACAGCTTCAGCTGTATCTCTAAGTTGAACCTGAAGACCTCTATTCTCATCTCTCCAATATTGCCGCTCCTTTTCTCTGTCAGCTCTAAGAGCAGAAATTTCTGCAGCAAGGGAGTTAATGAATTTTGACTCCGCTCCTTTTACCCCAGCTCTGGCAGCTGCTTTCTTCACATCCTCGATGCCATCCATAATTTTCCTGTGCCTCGCAAGTAGACCAATATGTTTCTCTTGGAGGTCTGCATACTGCTCCAAAATCCTAGCATGACCCTGCATTGCTGTCTGCAGTGCCTCCTTTAGCTCGTCCGTGCACTCCTTCTCCGAATCAAGATCCACCTTCCTCTTTTCAGCAAGCGATCGACTTGCTTCAAGTTCAAGTTTAAGTTCCTCTGAAAGTATGATCCATTCACTCTCCCTTTCGGTCCAATTACACCCATCTGGTTCAATTTTTTCATTGCCACTTGCTTCAGTTGACTCTGATATAGTACAGAGAGGAGTTGAAGTGGTTCCGCATGAATGAGTCAGCTGAAGCAAAGGGCTTTGTTTTCGAGTTGAGTTGGAAGAAAACTCCAAGTAATATTGTAATTGACTTCTTAGATCCTGGATCTCTTCCATCAAGACATCCCTCTCACCCATATTAAAAAAGTTCTTAAAACCATCCAGTTCTTCTTGAACTCTTTTAAGCTCGATGTTAAGCCGCATAATATCTGGGTGATTCTCATATTTCTCTTTAAGAAGCTGTTACTTGCAGAAAATAAATAAATATTAGGAAAAACTTTAACAAAGTAAAACTCCTGATAATAGGGCTATCAGGTAAACTGAAAAAATGAAACTCATCAGTTGACGCTGAAGACCTTGTGTTCATTCATGAGAGAAGCAAACTCTTCTTCCATGAACTCCTCTGTCGGCAAAATACCATCCATAAGACTCTCAAGACGAGAAATTTTGTCCTCCCGTGTCTCAGCAATTATGGCACTGCATTCTCGCTCATGCTTATATTGTTGTAACTGCACCAGCCATAGAAATGAGAAAAGCATAGTATAGAAAACCAAAAATATAAAAAAAATGGAAAAGATACTCTACCAAACGATTTAGTTGCATGATTTCAGCAGCTTGCTTTGCACAGTGTTCTTCAAGAGCCATTTCTCGCCTGATAGAGCCAGTCAAGACCTTCTTCACTGCCTACAGTCAAAAAAACATCACCCTAAACCCTATTAAACAAGTTTAATAAATCCATGAACATTTAAGAAGAAATGAACAGAAATCTACAGAATATTCAACTTATGCTTTGTAATGTACCCGAGGAACTTTCATCTTGAGTTTGTCAGTCGACATTGTTCCATCAATAGTTACCAATTGAAGATCAGTGCCATTCTTGGTATCTTCATTTTCATCTTCTGAAGCTATCTTCTTGCAACAACTACAAACATATGCAGACAACTGTTCCATTTCTTCTGGATCTTGAACGATTGTTTGTATGCCAATATCGACCTTGTTTATTGGCACCACTGGCTTGACATCAGTAAGTGCAACAGAAAATCTGAATGATGACCTCCTCACGAATGGGTTAAGCTGCTGGTTATCGAAAATTTGAAGACCACGTCGCAGACTGGCTGCTAAATTCTCAGTCTTGTTTGTTTGAGTTACATAAGTGTTTAGAGGATATGAAGATTGTGCAAGGGATACGTTTAGTACTCCAGAGCCTAATTTCAAATCATCTGCTATAATCTTCTGAGATGCTGACATAGATGATGATGTTCTAAGGCTTTTTCTACTGAAATTTTCAAGCACAGGTGATTTACTCGAAGTAGGCAGTTGAAGAACTAGAGATGTCTGGCTGGGCACAATGCCACTACTGTCAGGAGAAACTATGGAACTTGGGGAGCTAGAAGAATCACGAGTTTGCGCTTCATGGATAATGTATTCCTTTTCCACTGACGGATTGCTTTCGCTTTGTGTGTTATGATCTGGTAAAATATTAGTCCCTTCATCAGCCATATGTACTTCACAAGTATCATTCAGTTGATCATCTCCTCGATCTCCGGTAGAACCACCATCAGAGTTTACAATGAGTTGGCCTGGCCCTATTTTCTTCAGAGCACACTCTTCAACTGCAAAAGTTTGATCCTTTACACAGCCAGGATCCATCTTGTAGATTGACCTGACATCCCTGGCAACTGTATCATTATCATTAATAGAGGACCTTAGCTCCTCTTTTGATGCAGAAAGATCGACGGATAGTTTTCCTTCACAAGGTAAAGGTAGGCTTGCTTGAATATTTGGCATCTCAACATCACTCTCATCAATTTCCATCTCCACATCATTGTCATCTTTCAGAATAGGTAGTGTTGTAGGACAGTTAAGACTCATTTTCAAAAGATTCAAGCTACGCCGAGCATTCCATGCTGATGAAAAACTTCCGTTGTTTCCTGCAGATCCATTAGACTTCATGCGTAGAAGTTCATCCTATTGACAAGAAGATATGTGAGCAATTTGAAATCTAAAACTTGATGATGCCAAAAGGATAAAATGAGTATCACAGAAGTACCACCTTTAGTTGGCGTATCTGCTCACGCAGGACATTAACATCATCCTGTGTTATCTCATTGACAACTGCTTTGTTCTTTATTGCTTTTGCTCGTTGTGCAAACCTTAAGGTGCTGAAAGTTTCACTTTTGCAGCTGCATATATCATATTTCTCAATCAACACAGAAGAAAGCAAGGGGGGATGAGGTAAAGATTAAAAGCCTCTTTTTATACCTCTGTGATGGTGAAACAGCACAAATCATTGCTAACTTGGCGTTACCACCAAGAGATTCTTGCAATAAAAATGTAAGCCTGGAATCACGATATGGAATGTGTCTCTGTTTCCCAGACTGTGAAACTTCTGCGAGAATATTAATTAAGTTTCTGTGATAACAAAATGCAAAAGTGTTAGCAAAATCAGATTAGAAAGAGTACCCTAATATACATGCATGTAATTTTTCGTCTGCAGCTTGTTGAAACCATAGATTCATGACATGGAAAAAGTCCATGGAAAATACTATGCAGATACAATAAAAGCTATTGCATGCAAAAGCGAGGCCAATAAAGTTTCCTAATAGATTAAGTTACTTGTTCATAGTTATGCGGATAATCCAACTAACGTCACTAGTCTGCAACTAAATTTGATACAAAACTGTGACAGCCTTTTTCTGTATAATAACAAAGCTTCGCCCAAAATGCCAGTGCAATAATCAAAGGGGAAATTGTGACATTCACGGATGATTTCAGGTTGATAGTTAAGATCATTTGGGTGCCTTTTCAGCGCTTTTTGTACCAAAAAGCATTGGAGAATTGTCTACAGCCAGTGCAGTAAAATTGACTTCCAACATGCACTTGAGCTAGGGAAAACAAAACATTAAATAGTAACTGAGTAAACATTGGATGGACATAGGCTGCACTACCTAACTTCATGAAACTTCGATTGACTTTTATCAGACTAGCAAACCAGTCCAACGAGATTTTGTTTTCTTATCCTGGTAGTGGCAACATTATCTTAAAACAGAATCCATGGAAATACTATGATTACTATCTCATGGTTATAACTTATCTTGAGAATTGACAGAAACATTTCATAGTAACTCAGCTGCAACAGTAGAAATCTTAGTGCACTTGCTATCTTCCCATCTTAGAGTTGCATATGACAACATGTGTAGAACAGTTGAATAATGTTTACATATTTTCAGAATTGCTCCGATCCAATTGATGCAAATCAGGACCAGACACCTAAGCTGAATCTACAATTCTACATGATATAGCCCTTCCTGGCTCCACTAGCATTTTTGGAATAAGCATGGATCAACCAATTCCAACAGATACTAATTAGATTTTGGCCTCTGATGACTAAATTCATATGAGAGATTATGAAGTTGACTCGTTCCATGAAATAATAAGAGTAAGCAGTGAGAAAAAGAAAGAGAGGGAAGGATATTAGGACAAGAGGAGATGGAAGGGGAGGGAAAGAAACTAGACAATGTCATCATGAAACACTGCTAGCTGATCGTTGTGGCTTCTTGCTTCCTGTTTGTCAAAATAGAAGAACAAGAAGGAAAGCCCTAAAGCTCTTGTGAGTAAAAGAATTTATAGGTAAAATAATAATTTATCTTTTAGCATCTAGGACTGTATAGTAGTCCTATAATTCATATGAGTTAAATAATGATAGAATTTATAGCTGTCTATCAGGCAACAATCAGATGTGCTTCTTACAATAAATCCTTGAGAATATTAGAAGAGAAAAGATCCAAGAAGTCAGGCATGGTAACTGAAAGATTCTCACAAGTTTCAGGTTCCTAATAGAGTAATAGGTACTTCAAAAAGAAAAAGAAGATTACTAGTATCTAACATTCAACAGGTTACATTATAATGATTAATTGTGATTATGAACGATGCACTATAAGCAATTATATTGAGAACATATGAACTGCAATCATACCCAAGCTGTGACAGGGAGCGGTTAATATTCCCTGCTTCCTTCAAGCGTTCCCCTGCTGCACCTGTTTGCTTTTGTCTTTCAGATCCTGCCAGATCAACAAGGTTGATCCTGCTAGTCCTTAAGCTGATTAAACCATCACCTAAGCTCTACGAAATTATAAGGAAAGCACTTTGTAAATCAACAGTGCAACATAAAAGGCTAGACATATATAAAAGTGTTGTCTATGATATAAGAACTTAAAATGCAGTGTCTTTTTAAGACTAAGCAAAGCATGATTCCACAACCTTGCAAATAATTGACAAAAGTTTCACTGTTGAACAAGGAAGCTACCATTTGACCTACATATATTTATATGATTTCTTAATCTGTTAACATCATAATGAAATCTTCATCTCCAAGTGAACTTTGATTGTTAACACAATTTACTACCTTTGTCTGGGAATCAACAATGCAAGTAAATACGCAGTGAGAACGAGAACTCTCCATATTTACGCTGGTTGCACCTGTTCGCCTGTTTGCTAATCCCTGAAAAATAATTGAGAAGTGTAAATATGCATATCATTTGCAAATATCATATCCATAAAGCAAAAAAAAGAACAGCCATGCCACGAGTCTATGCTAAGCATCCAGGAACTTGCAAAATGGTTAAAGAAGAAGCAGTGTCAAACAATCAAACAAAAGTAATAAATATACAAAACCATAGAAGATAATAAGATAGAAACCAGAATGTCAAATCTCAATGGCAAATGGATTTTCCATGACACTAGCTCAACTAATTCTACATAATAGAACTTTGCATGAAAAGACTAAACTGCATGCTAGAAGTAGCTTTAACAAAAGCATTATTCTTCAAGAAGGGACTTATAAACATCATAAAACGGATGATTCAACTATCAATAGTTAAAAAAATCAAATCAGAAAAATTTTCATTAGCGCTGTATGTGAAAACAGAAGCACACAAATGAGCATGCACATACAAAAATATTCATGCACATGCACGCACAGTCACACTTGCTCTCATCAATACACCACAAGCATGCACATAAAAAATGAAACTGATCATATAAAACGATATCTACAAAATAAAACAAAGGAAAAGTTATGTTGGTGTTTTCAAAGTATTCTATAACGAACGGATAAAAGATTACTCTTATTTACAATTTGAACATTTTTTCTTTTGAGCCAATAATCCTGAACACAACTCCTAAAAAGTTCTTTGAGAAATATTAATTGATCAACAAACTACAAAATATGACTTGGAAAAGAAGAGAATCAATGGACCTTCATCAGCAGACGGATCACATCCTTCATTGTATACACATACTCCTCTGTCAAACAGTCAACATAAATGCCAGCTTTAACATCTTCCCTAATCTGAAAGACATGACAAAATTCAGAATTAAATGAGAAAACCACAGTCAGATTAGCAAAAAGAGCAAACCTAAAGTTAGTTCTCCACCTGAAGATTCTTTTGTGTTGGATCCAAAAGATCAGTAATTTGCTCATTGTAGATCTGTAATCTCAACAATCAGACAGATTAAAAACTAACAAACCAACCAACCTAGAAGTACATGATTTGACGGTAGCATCAGCACACTTGCCTCCAGAAAGGAACAATGACACTGGTAATTCAGCTGCTTGTCGGAATGCTTAGCTTGCTCCTAAGACATATATAATCCTGTAAGCATGAGTGGATCTAAAATACCATGTTGAGCAGGACTACAGAGACTACCTACTTCATTTATGCGAGAAAAAAGCCGCTCAAAAACACGTGGAGTCAAACCCCACTCACTACTCGAAGAATCTTCGGACAAGGCACTCGGAGGTCCCCACATCGTATACGTCTTTCCACTGCCAGTCTTTCCCGACAAATTCAGTTCAAAACAACTTATCAGCATTCTTGATAGCTAATTGAGCAGAACAAAGAGACTTGGTCATGTTTGAAATCACAGAGCTGCACCTACCTGCCCATACGCAAATATGGAACTGTTGAACCCGGCCAAGCAGTTCTCCACCAATGGAAGCCCGACGAGTCGAAATATATCATCCTGTTAAGATACTCAAGAGTTCAGAAGATGAGGACTTTAAATGTTAAGCGTTAGGGGGTGCTCGGAAGGTAAAAGAGATGAAGAGAGATCTCTAATTCAAAGTGCATATATACTATTTGAGACTCGCCTGAGTGGAACTGATATCAGCTACCGAGTCAAAGGTGAAGGTATGGTCAAGGATCGAAATGGAGTTTGAGGAGATCTTTTGTACAATCGGATCCCCTTCTTCCTCTTCCTTGCTTGGCGGTCGCACTCGCACAAGTACCTGATCCAACCACAAGAAACATGTAATTCGAAGACCCAACTGAACAGATGAAAGTAGGGTTTCATGAGGTCTCACCTGAACGCCCGAATCTGACGACATCGAGGGCGGACCCCCATTCTCGGCGAGGGTTTCCAGGCTCAGCTTCCGCTTGAGAGGGTTGCCGCCGTGGAACGAGGGGAGAGGCGGCTTGGGAGGAAGCGGGCTCCGGTTCCTGGCGGAGAGCGGCTTTCCGGGAGACTTGAAAGGAGAGGATTCCGGCGGGGTGGTGTTGGGGTCGACGTTCTCCTTTGGGGCCCGAGGAGGGCGCTGCTTCTGCGAAGAAGGGGTCAGGGTCTCGGAGGGCGAAACCCTTCCACCCTTCGAATTTGCGAGCGCCTTCATCGAGATCAAAGAAGGAGGGAGAGAGGGAGAGAGAAGAGAGGAAGGCGGAGAGATCTGATTCCCTTGAGAGGTGGTGGGCGAGGAGAGGGGGAGGGGGAGAGCCGATTTGATTTGAAATTGAGGGGTGCAAATGTAATTTTGTGGATTTTTTTTTTTATTTAATTGAGGTCTTCTGATGGGGGAGCGGCGGAAGAGTGGACGATGAAGCGATGGGTTTGATTTGGACCGTCTGATCGTGTACAGTTCCAAGGTTCCATGGCAACGGTCCATTTTCTTGGAGTGTTCCCACTTCTCGTGTGGGGAAGTGAGTATTGTTTTCCGTTACAATTTAAAATGGGAAAAGATTAACCACAGTAAATTTTGACCCACTTGAGCGACGGCCTATACGTATAAAAGGTTGAGTTCATCGCATGGCTTTTGGGAAAGTCAATTCTGTTGGAATTATGGATGAAGAGACTAGAAAATTTTCCAAGTTCTCATATTTTAAGATGATATTTGATCATATATTGAGTGTCTTGATACTTGGTTCAATTATGTGAACATTAACTTTTTCATCGTGATTTTTCATTTGAAAAATATCTAGAAGATATAATTTTTTATGATATTATTGATAACAATTATAATTTTAAAAGATGAATTCTAAAAAAAAAAAATTAAACTTTTGAAATTTAACGTAAAGGACTCTCTCTTGGATTCATCATCCATAACTCTCATGCATTTATGGTCTTCGTTAGAAGAAGATTGAGATGCAGAGGAGATTATGGGTTTAACATGGGCTTATGTGGATATAGGGACGACTCTAATATCACTTTATTTCTTGTGCAAGAATTATAACAAGACACAAAAGCAATTTCGATATAATATGTGGAGGCAACAATGGCTCAACAACTGATGATTCTATGGGAGGCAACAAAGTTCACAAAAGTGATGACAATCTTCATACCCCCTTATTTCTCGTGCGAGGATTATGGGTGAGCACAACAAAGATTTTGTGATGCAGGATGAGCAGGATGATGGATCCGATTGGAGTTAGAAACAAAATGTTTATTTTTTAATATAAAATTTTTGAATATAAAAGGATACTCTACAAAAAATTTGTAAAGTATGGACACTCTATAGAAAATTTTTAAAAGCATAATTTTTTTTAGAATTTATCTTATTTTAAAAATAAAATATTTTATTTTTTCAAAATTGGAACATTTACGTCTCTTATTTTTTTATAATTTAGTTTCTATTTTGGAAAAGTTAAGGAGTTTTGAGTTTTCTAAAATGAATTTATTGTCTTCAGAAAATACAATCATTTCTCTATTTATTTATAAAACAAAATTTATAATTATATATTATATATTTTTAGAAATAGTTTTTTTTACCTTTTTGTTGATAAAATAATTTTAATTTAGTGTTGAATTATTAGTAACCAAATTTCTAGAAATTTGGTTACTAATAATTTATTGTTTATTGTTTTTTGTGTTATAGATTTTTTTTTTTCGCTACAAACTGTTTCATGTTACAAATAGTATTATATTTTCTAGTATTTTTAAAATTAATTTATTTTACATTTAAACATTTAAAATTCTTCAATTTGAATCTAAATTTCAAAAATTTTGAATTTTTATAAAACATTAAACCCCTCACAAAACAGTGTTTGAGACTTGAGTGTTCTAAACAAACTTGATTACACAGTTTAGAGAAAAGTTAAAAACAATCATATACTTGAATCATGCTCATTTCTATCTATTTATTGTAAGCAATATTAAAAGCATGGTCTTATACCTTTTACTTGATTACAAATTGGTAATTAGCTTTATTATAGGAACTCAATAATAAATTTAAAATTAAAACTATGTGAGCTTTACCTCTTCTTGATTTTAAGTGTTATGACTATGATTGATTCAGTTGATGAAATCAATTATGATGAAGCGTAACATTAAGCTCATGAGATCATGCAAAGAAATATTCTTACAAAGAGTCTTTCTACTCTTTATTGTTAACGTTATATCAGTACAGTGAAAAGGGTTTTTAGCTCATAAGATTAGCGAATAAATTATAATATTACAAAAATAAATTAAAATTTGTGTTAGTTCTTCGTGAGGTTACGTGAAACTGAGAATTTTTTCTCTATTTAAGGGCAATGCTCAAATTCCCCTTTTCCAATGGATCCTCCTCTCTTCTCGTTCCTTCGTCATCCCGCTCCTCTTGCTCCTCAAAACCCTAACCCTAGTCCAGATCCCATCCCGATCCCTCGCGCTGCCGATCTCCCGACCGTCATTTCCCTACTCACCGACCTCGCCACACTTGCTGAGTCCACCCTCAAGTCCGTCTCCGACTTCCTTTCCCTCCCCCCTTCCTCCGCTGCCGCCGTTGGCGATGGCTTCTGCCGATGCCCTTACGACCGCAACCACTGCATGCCGCCGGAGTCTCTCTTCCGCCACTCCCTCCTATGCGCCTCCGCTCCCGGCGCCCCTCTCCTTGACCTCGGCTTCCTCGACGCCCTACGCTATCCCGGCTCCCTCAAGTCCGAGGCCGAGCTCCGGACGGAGAATTCCTTCGTCCAGTCCCTCCCTGCCCCCGACGCCGACCTTTGCTTTTCTCTCGATTCCCAGCTCGGGGACCTCGGCTCCGGCTTCTTCTACAAGGATTGCCCCGCGGTCGTGACCACACCGGAGCCCGATGTGGCCACGACCTTCACGCTACCCGGAATCTTATCCGCGGAGTGCGCCAACTTTGCGAGCGATCGTGATGGAGAAAGTTGGGTTCTCGGGGAAGGTAAGATTCGAATCCTTCCATCCGAGTATTGGGCGTTGAGATGTGAGGTGGAGGCGTGGAATGACTTCCCGGTTTCTTACTCTTATACGGTACTTCGTGTCATGTCGAGCTTGAATTTGGTCGAGGAACGTGGGTTGTTAAAGAGGTGGGTGATCTCAAATTCACCTCAATTTGGGATCGTGATCGATGTTGCCATGCGGGAACATATATATCTACTTCTGAAATTATGCTTGAAAGTTATTGGAAGAGAAGCTCGTTCCTCACTTAAGTTGTTTTTGGACAACGAGCGGCTTTGCAATCCGAAGTCTCTTAATTTTGAGTGTCCTAGATTGGTGAGAAGCTTCCGTTGGTTGGCATCTCAGATGTCAATTCTGTATGGGGAGATGAATTCTAAGTTATTCGCAACTGGAATGCTCAAGGAGTCATTGGTGCAAACTGGGTCAAGCTTGATGTTAACTAGTTTAGGCAGAGAAAATATGGAAAACGATGGTAGCATTGTTATCAATGATGCTTGTGTTGATGATACAAGGTGTGGGTCTGATGAGTACAAATCATATGAAGACATGAAACTAGAAAATCCTTCCAAAGATGCTAGTAGGGGCCAAATCTTTGTTTCTCAGGTTGCTGCTGCAGTCGCTGCATTGCATGAGAAATCCTTGTTGGAGAAAAGGATCAAGGCCCTACGATTTTCCCAGCCACACTCCAAGTCTCAGCTGTATGATTTATTCTTGCTTCTATTATGTGTTTCTTTTCACCTAACATGTCATTCCTATGCTTGCCTTTGTCCTGAGGCCAGGCTTTTGACCTTTTTGCCCCTTAATTTTCGAGAAATATTTGTGATAGTTCTGTTCGTTTTTTATGAGCGCCAGATCAATATTACATATTTGCTCAACAAAATTGAAAATGTGGAAATTTATGATTATGGAATAGACAAAATTTTCTATCAGGCAAGAGAAGAAAGAATAAAGAGACTTTGGAAAAAAAAGGTAACATGTTGTGGGTCTTAAAATGTTCTGTACATGTAGAGTTATAAAACATAGGCAACTGACAAGACATGTATATATCATTATTACAAAATATTGATAATGTATAGTCTAATTCCTTTAGAAAACGAATTTATTTTTATTGGAGACAAACTTAGATATAAAAATAACAAACAATTAAACTAGCACCAAAGAATGAAAGGCCAGTGTTAAAAGATCAAGATGAAAACATTTTGTATTGGATCTTTCTTGGGAATGAATTAATTGCAAGGAAAATAAAAAATACTTTACCATAGAAAACAATGATAAGTCAGTTAGGTTGCAGGAAGAGGAGACACAAAACTGTTCTCTTCACTTTGTTGTGTAGTCAGGATATAGACACAAGTACCTCCTCTTTTGGAAAAATATCTTGAAAAGTTTCAGGAAGGAGGTTGTGGAGAAGTTTTAAGAGTGCGCCTTGGTGTGAGTGAGTTTGGCTCCAATGTGACTAAGGGTGGACTAATTGAAACAACCTTCCTACTAGCATAGTTAAGTGACATACATTTATCGTCGGTAGGTGCTATATTGGCAGTACTCTTATGCACTGTACATGGTGACTAAAGTTTGAGTCATGAAAACCTCTAAAGTTGAGATTGTGTACAAAGACGAGATTATGTGCTTGTGCTGCCTTTTTTGTTTTGTAGACAAAAAAAAGGAAAATGAACAATTAATTATTTAGAGACATTAGGGAAAACATTAGTTCAGATCGTTTTAAGATTTGCCATCAAACAAACACTAGAAAAGAAGTTTTTGAGGGAAAACACTTCCCTTCAGAATTTTGTAACATAAACCTTAGAGGAGTAAAAATAAGAGCCGAAGATTGTAGAGTCGAGAAAGATTCTTTGCTGCTTTCGTTTCTAGAAGATGGATGCAAAGAACATATGTTAAGGTATCAAGGAATAGAGAGGGATATTAAACACATCTATATTATATAGAAGTGTACCTGTTTCACAATTTCTTCTTGTTAGATTGTTTTGACACTTGACACCTTCATGTCTATGGGAAGCACTCTCTTTGCACCATATGAGAATAGAACGAGAGAAACTACAAATATGAGAGTACGACAAGAGGATAAAGGTAGTGGAAGTTGTTTATACACACAGAAATTGTTAACTATCACCTTGTGGTAACCTATGAGTCTTATGGGAAGTTTACTGAATATCACCTATGAGTCTTATGGGAAGTTTACTGAATATCTAATTCATCATTGCCTTCTACTGACAGATTCATCTTTAGTCATTTTCTACTTCCTTCAAACAAGCTTCAATATCTCCCTACTGTAACTGATTTGGAGATAATGAAAAGTGTGTTTAATATAGATGTATGCATCAACTAGAACAAATATTTTTGATGTGTTAGCATTTCGGGTCTTTTGATCCTTATTCATTACACATTTCAATGAGATGTTTCATTACTATGTCTAAAAAGTAAAAATGGTTACCAGAATCATGAAGATTGCTTTTATTTTATAGCATTTCACTATGATATATCTTTTTGTTTTTTTTCAGAATACTGGAACACTCGTATGCATTAGCCAGAGGTTTTGAAGAACGTGGAAAGCGCCCCAATTATAGGCCTGTTCTGGAACATGATGGGCTCTTTTGGCATCGAGCACAAAACCAGGTGAATTATGCATTGACTTTTACCTTACACATGGATATGTTTTGTCATGCCATGTGCAATATGATTTTGATGAATTTTTCAATGTAATTACACGTTAAGGTAGGCTCATGTTGTCAAGTTGTCCTATGAAGCACGAGAATTTAACAAATGCCTTATTTTGTTATATTGTCTTTTTTATATTCTAAATTATATTTTTTTCATATTATTTTTTTCTATAGAGAACAACAATACTTTGTGGATCTAAGTGTTGGGCAATTAAACAACAACATGTACAAAAAGTTTGTGTTGTCGAGATGAGAATGTTGAGATGAATATGTGGAGTTACTAGGAAAGATAGAAAAATAAATACTTTTAATTATGAAGTAGAAATAATGTTAGTATTACGAGGAGAGATAGAGAAAGACTAAAAAATAGCTTAATAGAAACAATAAATAAAGATTTAAATATTTTAAACTTAACTAAATATATGATTTTTTACAAATCTCAATGGCTGTAAAAGATCCATCTAGCCAATCCCAAATAGTTGGGACTTAAGATTTTGTTGGTGTTGATGTTGATGTATTGTTTCTTTTTGTACTTTTTCTCATTAAAATTATGTTAACTGTTTAGTGATTCACTACTTTCTTTGACTGAGGGGGTGCTATGGGGCTTGGTGAGTGGTTATTAAGATAAAATGAACAAGAATGTGAGAAATGGGTGTGGGGGATTAGCGTCATTAGTTATTTACTTCTTTGCTCAATTGATGGGGGCTTGTTAGGAAATCTAGGCTAATTGAAGAAGCGAGAGAAAGGTGTGCGTTGGATAGTATGGAGTCCCAAGTGTAGAAAGGGGTGACTATGGTGTCAACTAAATAAAAACAAGCGGAGCAGGCCATCATGTTGCTTGATGCCCCCAGCTAGAGAGGGTAGAGAAGAGCAGGAGAGCCTACTTTATTACACAGTGCATAACTGTCCACCTACCACCTGCCACTGACTGTGCAATGACCCATGTGTGGTTTGCTCAATGAGCTGGCCATCATGTTGCTCGATGCCCCCAGCCAGAGAGGGTAGAGAAGAGTAGGAGAGCCTACCTTATTACACAGTATGTCGCTGTTCACCGACCACCTGCCACGAACTGTGCAATGATTCATTCATGGTTTGCTCAATAAGTGCCACACGTATTCTAGTTAATTTGTGTCTTGTTAGGGTTCGGGTAGGGTATATTCTCTGGATGAGATAGTAATTGGTTTATTTTATATTTTTGTTCTACAGTCCAAATCATGGAGACCATTGGATCCTTTGAATAAATAGTAGATAAATTAAACAATTGAGTTGGGTTGAATTGTACAAAAGGCCTGATTTTTTATTTGATTTCTATTGGTAGCTCCTTTTACCTATTCCCGTCTTCTCTCCCGTTCTTTCTTTCTTCTTCCTCTCTCTCATTGACCATATAATATTCATCTTATCGATATCAAACAGCATGTTGGTTGATTAGAACTTTGTGTTTTGTTAATGGTGCGTCCGTTCTTTGTCATCCGTTTATCTCCTTACCTATCTATCAAACACCGCTCTACTACGTCATATACCCATATTAGGACCCTAGGAATACTAATTAGATTCTAAAAAGGGCTCTTTTGATTCATCAAAATAGCTACTAAGATTAACTATGGTAATTACTTCAGAAGTAACAACATAATCAACAGTGTATTATCCTATTCTACTTGGAAGTCAGGTTGACAAAGCATTTTGAAGTCTTCCTTCTCCTCGATTTGTAGTTGTATGGTGATTTCAGGACTCACAGAAAAAAGTGCTGAATTCTCCTTTCGATAGTTACATTGTGCTCTTTCCTTTATGTGAAGGACGTTAGGACTATTTGGATAAGAAATCCATCTTTGGACCGCCCAGGTTTCTTCCTTCCTCTCCTGGTCTAAAACTTATCAAAACCCATCTTCATGAATTTCTTAGTGGTTGTACGAGCCCTCACAGGTGTTGGTTTGGGAGAGGATTAGATCATAACAAAATATCATATCACAGGCTGTGTTAGGTTCAGCTTCAAGGTAACTGGTTTGGATATTACCAACCTAGCTAATTAATTTCAATCCCTTTTTTGTATGTTTGCTAATCTAGCTAACCGATCATGTTCATCTGGGCTAGTTAGCAGCGAAATGAGAGGTTTTTTGATGTATGATTGTATGCGCCCCATATCTTCAAGGCACAAATAACACAAGCCACAGCCAAGTAAAGCCTCCAACACACCCTGCCACAACTGCCAAAAAAGAACACAAGAGGAAAAAGCACAATGAGGTGCTTCTAGTTATCATGTTTGTAGTCTGATACATGTATATTATTATGTTGCACATGTAGCTTGGTCTCTATATCTGCTTTAGTATGAGTACATTGATACAAATGTACCTACAAATATTCATTTCCTTTTTTTTAATGTGTAATTCATAACAGTCTCCATAGGCAGGACACTATTGTCCTTGTAGATGCAATCCACATGTTTAGAGGATTGAGTAAAGCTATGACATAATAGAAGCTTTGAGGTGATGGTCATCAGAAGTATATTGTCAAATCTGCAGATGGAATTTTGCATGCATGGAGAGGGAAAAAGTTAACATTAACTCTTGATAATCTGTGGACTCAGCATATGTTTAACTAAAAAACACAATATATACCACAAAATATACATTTTGTATGCCTTAAAATTTTATATTATTTTCTGTAATTTTCTTGTGCATTCTGACGAGAAGAAAACATTATCTTTTTGGCAAGTTTTAAGCATAGAGTATGAGGTGTAAAAATAACTAGTTTTTCAAGTATGATATTCATAACTTATTTTGCAATATTAAAAGATGAATGATTATATATGAATGTGAGCTTACATACATTATGTTAGTACTTTTGCAGCTGAGGAATATTGTTTAGTGTTTGTGATAATTCCTGTACATGTACTGTTAACAGTCTCAACCTTTTAGGTATACAAAGCCGATCACCTAATGATGAGTAGGTTATTTGAGAGCCTTTTTTTTTTTTCATTTTTTTGTTTAGGATCTTGGGAAAGCCAAGACAAGAGAAGAGCTACTAGCTGAGGAAAGAGATTACAAAAGGAGAAGAATGTCATATCGTGGCAAGAAGGCGAAGCGAAATCCAACAGAGGTATGCATTAATAAATTTGGTAACATAAATGAATTTCAATCATTTGTGTTGTATCATTCTAAAATGAAGAATATGTGAAGACTACTACTTATATTGTGACTTCCAACATCCTGATTTTTTTTTAACTTGTAAATAAAAATTTCAGTGAGTTCTTAATCATGCATCCAGATCCATAAATAGTCATTTTCTTAATATGAAGACAAATATAGCTGCTTGGGTATAGGTAACAAGTATTATGACTACGTCAACTAACCCAAATTGCTAGTTTTGATCTGTTGTGTTATAATGTTCAGAACATGTTTAAAACTTAATTGTTTATATTATGTTGTGCAACATGTTTTTTTATCTCTGGATTGTCTATCTTGTGTTCACTTTCTTGTCTCAGAGCATTCTTACTGGAATGGTTAAAGGCCCACTTTGTTGCTTTCCTTATAGTCATGTTGATGTTTGCTGATGTACATGTGAAATGTGTATTCACCTGTGCATGCAAGTTAATTGTAATGCATTGAGTTTTTTAATCTTTGTATATTTGCTTCTTTTTGTCATTTTAGACTTTTATTTAAGTGCTAGCATATTCTGATTTTATGTTGCTGAAGGTAATAAGGGACATCATTGAGGAGCACATGGAGGAAATCAAACAAGCAGGAGGTATCGGATGCAATGTAAAACTCTCTGCTGATGCAGCAATTTTCCCAGTCAACCATGATGCCCAGAATGATGCAATTTCAGATCTTTGTAAGTTGCAAACCAGTGACTTGGATGATCCAGATGCAAGAAGAAATACTCGTCATAAAGAATCACTAGATGGTGATGCTATTCAAAGTCATAGATCAAATGTGAACAAAGATTTTCTGAAGTCTCACTCAAAACTGAAGTATGAACAACATGAGCATTGGGAAGATCAAGATAAATCTATGCATGAAAGATGGAAGAATTATGGTTCTAGCAGCTCTTCCTCTCACAAAAGTTTGGCTTCATCACGTGACCGAATTGCACATGAAAAGGAGCATGGTGCTGCAGTTCCACCCAGCAGTAAATATGACAGTATGAATTCTGGATATTTTTCTAGGTCAAGAGATCACATAAATCAATCAACTTTAACATCAAAGTCTTCCAGGAGGGAATACGATCACATATCACGAGATAAGAGTAAAGAAAGAGACAGAACTTTTGGACGACATAGATCAGAGTCAGTGACACAGGACACGTTTGAGGATAGATACAATCCTTCTGACTCATATGATGATTATCATGCCACCTACTCTAATGTTTCTGCAGACAGTACCTATTACTCGTCAGGCAAGGTTTACAATCCAAGAGAAGATGGCAAATATAATCATGAGCAGCGTTCTCGAAGGCGGAGCAAAGATTATAAATAGGTCAATCACTTTTTGATGACGTAAATACTAGTCCCGTATCTATTTTATGATGTCAGTACCTGTTTTACCTTGTCATATATGGTATTGAGATTTTTCCCTTACATACCTGTGCAGTATTTACTGAGGCATCATGAGTGTTCTCCACGTCCGTATCCTTCTCTGTATCCTCATGGTTAAAGATATCATGTTTGCCTTTTATCTTTGCTGTACAGTTCCTTTCATGTTTAGTTGTGCTATATTACACCTAATCAACAAGGATCAATACACAAGTTGTGTTAAAATGAGATGGGTTGGGTTTCTCAAGTTGTTTAACTAATACCAGATTAGTTTTAGGTCAAGTCATAGAACTTGTTTGTTAAGGTTTTAAAATGATGGTATAAATTCGTATTTCTTTAGACTAGTTTTCTGCTGTTGATTTTACATTTTCCTTTGGAGCATAAATTCAGCATGCAAAAGATTTTAGGCCTCACAGCAGTGTGCTGCTACTGATGATGGTCTCCATTTACTTAATGGGTGCAAGATTTGGTTATTGGTCAAAATTTGATTAATCAGTGAAGACTGGGGTTGCAGATGTCTTTTGGCTGTTTGCTGAATTGCCTTCTTTGTTGCATTTTCTGTTTCCTGTTGAATTCAGTTAATGATTATACATGCTTAGCCTTGCCTCTTTGAATTCCCTTGTTCTGCAGTTAATCGACAAATCATTCATGCTCTATGGTAGTTTTTTTTTTCCTGATATTGGACAACTGTAAGCATTGAATGCAGTGTTTACGATGGTGAACGTACTTCTACTAAGAGAGCGATGTTGATTCTTTTGTGAAGCATTGTGATATAGAATTTTGAAATTTTTATGGTTATTGTGACTGATTTCAACATTTTTGATGTACCTGGATTTGCTTTGGTTTTCTGTGTGTCAAAAATTGATAGTTTCTTCAAGCAGGTTTGTCTTAAGCAGCCTACCCTAGACAGTATTTCAGTTTAAGCTGCCTCTTTGTTTAATTCATTACTTCTTTTGCCCTTCTGCAGTATTTCAATTCTTTTGCCCTTCCTGTTTGAACTGCACAAGACAGTATCTCAATTAACTTACAAATTACAAAAGATTTGTTAATTCTTTTGCCCTTCTGCAGAAAGGACTTCCTCTTTGGTTTACTTCAAAATGTTACTGTGTGGATTAGCATTACTGCTATTGTATGGATTTGCTTAAGCATGCACCAAGTACATATTTCACGGAGAGCTTATGGTTGGAGGAGATTATGAAGTCAGCTGACTGCTTTGGGAGCAGTTACTAGAATGGGTTCTAGTCGGCGCATTATTAGGTATGCTCATCCTGGACCAAGTAATGTTTCTAATTTTGGGTTTTTTTTATGCCAAATCCAGGAATTATCTTGAGGATGATTGCTTCATAAATTTTGACTCTTAATTCATGTAAGATGAACTTATTGTGCCCATAATAGATCAGCATTTGAGGCTGTCAACATTTAATTTGGTAAATTTTCATCTATGTTCATCTGTTTTTTTTATATATCCCTCTCAAGTTAACACTTGTTGCTATATCTACGGTGTTGGTAGATACATGTTGGACTACTATTGAGTTAAATACAGATACAAATAGTTTCTTTTTCTGTATGTTTTTCCTTACCAGATAAATTACTTAGTTATGTGGCCCCTTGGTCGGATGAGATCAGATAGATAAGAACCTAAGTACTATGGATTTGCGTTACTTGCAATATAACTCATTGTAGTACATTCCAGAAGTTAATCATATGGCTAGCTACATGTGGAAACAGGTAAGATTTACTCGAATAAACATTGGCACTAGTGAACTCTAATTTAGTAAGCAAACTTTCACGAAGAAAACATTGGAAATTTAGGTTTAAGAGTTGTTAATAGGTCTTGATAGTACCTTCCCTATTTACTTCCAGTTTGATAAAATCATGTAATGTGGTGATTCAATTAGGAGAATAGCTGAATAAGCTTTTCGTCAGAATTAGAATAACTTTGATGGTGATATTGGAAAAGATGAAACATCAAAATGGTGATAGAGTCTATGTTTAATGTCCAAGTGAAAGTTTGAGTGAGACAAGAATAGAAGGCAAAAGAAATAGTTATTCTGGGGGAAAATACAGAGTAGAAAGAAGTTAATATAACCCCTTTTATATGCTGAGAGGGTCCAATGAGTTTGTGACAATAGCCTTAGGTTTCCCAGACTCTTAAATTCCTCCTTAGTGTTAAGAGGGACTCGTGAATAGGTTGGATTGCTGTCAGTAATAGATTGAAACAGAGTGATGATACCTTTTGGGCCATAATAGGGAGTTATTAATTTCCTAGTTTGTCATAGTCATGGCTCAATAAATTTTGCTTTAATTGCATCATCTTTTCTTGCTAGAGATTGATTTGTTGTGTTTTGATGCATGTTGGGATTCTCTATGGGCTCGGATATCAGACATGAGGTCCATTTTCTAAGATGAATAGATGCCTTGTGCATTTGGATATGCTTAGTGAGAGTGGTCAGTGGGATGTCATAATCCACAGTGACAGAACAGATGCTACAGGCTGACTAAAGGTCAAGTTTCCCACATCCAAATAATGCAAGTGAAGCCACATCTTAGAAGAGTGCAAAGTAAAACGTCAATCCCACTTTTCCTAATTCTGACCTCTGTCAATGACCACCGTAGTTCTTTTTCGGTGGCGGGCAGTGGTTCGCAAGATCCAGCTGGAGTTAGACCAAAAGTAGGCGCTAACGAGCGCATGCAATTGACAAGGATCATCCAGTCTTAATCTGATTCAGAGTGATTGACGCAAAATCACTATTAAAACAGTTTTCGATTCTTCAACATGTCCCGAGTCAGCTTCGGTTTAAGCTCAAGTCTATTTTGGAAGACAAATGAATTCATGAGCGGTATGTTCGATAAAAGCCTCTTTTAGTCTTCAAGTTAGTAGAGTTGAAGCATAAGATAGGATTCAGATGATCAAAAAGCTTTAGGTCAATTAACGTCTCTGAGGTGTTTTTGGGGAGCGAATTAATCTGTGGGAGCAGTCATGCAGGATTGTATGATTGTTGAGCATTGTACAGTTGGTGCCATCGTGCCGATCATATAGGTCACATGGCCGATGTGTCAGAGTTGACATGACATATGAGCAAATATTAGATTGATAATTATATGACGTTTCAGATGCCTACATGTTAGGTGCCTTGTAAGTTTGTACTTTAGTGTCTTTGGATTGTGAGATTATCCATGTCAGGTCTGTACTTTAGTGTCTTTGGATTGTGAGATTATCCATGTCAGGTCTGAGGATAATTAGTGCTAATCATGCAAGGACCGAGGATGAATTTTGTAGTTGGCTACGAGAGTTACCTCTTGCCTTTGGATTTTTTTTTTGGTTCGCTGTGGTGTCCACCAGGAAAGTTATATGGAACCCATTTAGCTTTTATTTATAGAATATTTTCTTTGTTCTTGAAAAAAAAAAAGTGTTTGATGCCCAACGAGGGATTAAGGGATCAGTTGAATCCCACTTTATCGACGAGAAAGAGGTGGCCATGATTGGTCCTAACACCACCTCATCCACTGGGGGAGGATAAGGACGTGCCCTAGAAGAAGAGGCACATTGAGCAAGTCACTTGGCTTGTTCCTTGGGAGGTAGTACCTAATAAGTCTTATGAGTTGTACTACAGGACAACAGAAGCAGGAGAAAGAGGCTGCCACATGGAGCAGGAAGAGAAGCATGACCTCATGGCATTCATGAGAACTGCTCTCCCTTTATCTGCTCATCTTGTTCTCTCAAATAGGAAAAAAAATATATGGAAAAAAGGTTTCCAGGGTCAACATGTTTTGATATGAACCAAACTTGGTTTTTTGAACTAGATTTTATTGAATCAACATCAAGGCGATCATTAAAAAAAAAATGATAAAAACAAACTCTAGCTAGTCAAGTATTTGACAATCTTAACACTCAAATGTTTGTATGAAAGAGAGGCCTAAAGAACCATTTCAGATATGAACAATTTCATTGTTTCCTTTTGTTCCTTACAATTCAAGCTGTATAAGAAGTAACTTACAGAATTGGGAACCAATCAAAAAGTCAATTAGAAAGAAGATCTACAAAAGACAATGACTGAAAACACTTTATGATTCTACTCATCTTGTGCAAAAATATTGCTAGAAACTACAAATTATATAGAAAAATAAACAAATTGTGGAGCTTACAACTATAATATTTGGTCTGGTTGGGGTGTAGTTAATCCACTTATCAAAGATTCATGGTTCAAAATTTTATTCGATGATTTTTTTATATTTAAAATATTAGTCCAATTATGATATATTGGATCTGCTTACAAATTTTAAAGATATCAAACAACTTAGCAGGTAAGGTTGATAATTATGCTTGTATCATATTTTTTAGAAAAAAAAAGAAAAAAGAAAAAAGATGGAGGTTGGTGATATTCCTCATGCATGAGAATGGATGTGACCTGGCAGAAAGACAATTCAGGTTCACAAGCACATCCATTTATGACAGCTGGAGTCTTAACCAAAGATTGTTTTTTAGGAAATTCTTTCTGTTCACAAGTGGCCATCATTGTACCAGAAGGGGAGGAAGGCATGCATCAGAAGAATGTCTTCTCTTCTATGAGAATATAGTAGGATTAAACAATGCTGCATAGTTGGATATGGTAGAACTGACATGCTCATCAAAAGATGAAGACACAGAGAAAAGGAGAAAGAAAACACAGACAAGCTGTGACTGCAGGTGCAGCAAAGCGCCAAAGTTAGGGCCAAACTCAGTGTTGCATAATTGGCACAGTTACAGTCTGCCGACAACTGTGATTGGTTGTGGCTTATATCATCACAGTTTTCATCTCATCTCTCTCTCTCTCTCTCTCTCTCTCTCTCTCTCTCTCTCTCTTGTGTGTGCTTGTGTGGCACAGTGACAAGGTGGGGGGGTCCATTTGGAGACCATAGTCTGAGGTAGCTGACCATGCGAGGAAAATGATGTCTATTCAGGAATGATGAGAGAGAATTATAGTGAGAAAAAAAAAAAGGAGCCCCTGAGCTATTGACAAAGTATTGAGATAAGCATGTTCTTTTAATGGTGTCCCATATGAATCATTAAAGCCTAGCAATGGGGTCCTATCTCTGTCTATTACTGCCTATTGTCACCATTAGTTGATATCCACCTACTTGTGGTGAATCACTTGAAGATTCTATATGAATCTAGAAAGCAGGTAGGCTCACCAGACCCTTGGAATATAATGTCAAGAAGGATAGCAGTGTGGGATGGGAACTATGAGCAACTCAATTTGTATTTTGTGTTGAAATCGAGAATATTATTTTTCTTTATAACATAGGGTGGTTAAGAAGAAGGAAAATATAGCAGTCTACGAATATATAATTTAAGCAGTTTCTAAACATTATTACTCTAGTTTTAGAATTGAAAAAAATAAAAAAAATCCAACTTATATCACAAGAGGAAGGTTATGTTGGTTTTTTTTTACACCTAAAGCATTGATCTGATAATTTATATACACTATCAAGATATTGTTTTGGTGATAATGGTGTCTTAAAATCACTTCTTAAAATAAAGTTGAGGTTTCAAAATATCATCAAAAACTAGTCTTTCGAGTAAAATCTTTGTTTGTTGATGTCAAGATTCTAAGATAGGATCTTGTTTTCACTATTTACCGTTTGGGAAAAAAAAGAAAAGATAACAATGTGGAGGAAATATGATCAACTCAATGTGTATTTTATATTGAAACAATCCTTAAATAAAAAGAGCATTATTTTCAATTTATACCAATATCAACTGTCTCTTCACACGCACACATAAATTTTTTAAAAAAATATAGAAAATATACAATTGACTAGCAAAATAATTTTTTTTTTGAAAATAAAAAAAATATACAATTGACTAGCAAAAGAATTTTTTTTCAAAAGTATGCATCATCATGTATCAACAAAATTTTTTCTTCCAAAAAAAAAAAGTATAATTAATTAAGAAAAGTACAACATCACCATTCGCATCGAGATGAGCCAAAAAAATCAAGTTCATGAGACCACCTCCTCTCTTCAAATACCATTAGAAACATTAAACCTAGCATCGTATTTACATGCAATCGATTAATCCCGTTAAGGTTGACCTCCCGCATCCTAAGGCAAGACAATGGCAGTTTCTTGCGAAGATAAAGATAGAGGGAAGAAGATGACAATATTCTCTTTCCCATTCGGTCTTCTCCACTTTCAAGCGAAAGATTGGACGTAAAGGAAGCAAACGGTGGTCTTTAGCTATCATTCACTCACCCGGAATTTATGGTGGACTTCAAGATTTCATGCGACTTGGAGGTTCATTCCACATGGCCCTCCCATCCCCACATTTCATGGGAATAAAGGAAGCATTCAGTTGAAACTCCTCTTCGGAGTATGATGATTACATGTCACTTCCAAGAGTAAACAAAAATAAACTAAAAGGTTTCACTCACAAACATCACTGGTGGATGAGTTGACGTTCTAATTTTCTTTTCTTGTCTAATTCATTATTTATTTATGTGGGAAAAGAAAATCCTGTTTATGATGATTTTTTATTCTTTTCTCACTCGTAAAGTTTAATAAAGGAAGGCCATTAATGATGAAAGCTTTATTCTAACATCAAAGCCAAGTAGATTTAATCGAGACTAGTTTTAGATTGAATACTCGGATAATGATTTCCCTTTTTTTTTTAATTTGATGTCTTTTTTTTTTTTCTAATATCCTAAATGAGATATTTATATATATATATAGAAGATATTTATATAAAGCACCGCTATGCCAAAGACGATACACATAGAAGACATAAGAGGAAACAAGAAGATCCAAATGGATGGAAGACGGCCAAAGTGGATTGAATGATTGGCAGTGCCACCTCCCGAATGACATGCCACTGAGGAGTGTTTGGTGGACGTGTCACACACAGTGCCACGCCACAGAGGAGACCAATTTAACGGTGCCCATTTGGGTGCCCCCATCCCATCTTGGCTTTGACTCCCACCGAGACTGCGGACACCTCCACAGTGACATGGTGGCTCCTTGCCACCTGATATGATGAGCCAGCTTGAGACACATCATGTGGTCAGAGGAATGATATGGTTCCAGTGGACCACAACAGAGCTCGAGATCTCTAATGGAGCATCTCCACCATTCGAATGGATAAGATGGTGCATAACGATCCCCTCTCTCTCTCTCTCTCTCTCTCTCTCTATCTATGCTTTTTCTTGCCTTTTTCATGTTATCATCATTGCATTTCGTGAAGGCCATGAGATGAGGCAACTGTGGTGGTCGCAATACTCCTATTTATATATATATATTTGATGTTGGTGGCAATTGTTTTTTACTTACGGATGTATAACTATAACTAGTTGGAATGAAATTACATAAAAATATTATTATTTAAGATCCTTAGTGTAAATTGTTGGTCAAAAATCTCAGTTCAAGAAAATCCTAAAACATATTAATAGTTCTTTTTTTTTAATCTTTTTTGGTTTAAGCATATAAGTATTGTTTGTTGCCTAATAAATTTTTAGCTTGCCTTCCTATTTGCTTATTCAATCTATCATTTGAATAATGGTTATTTGCTTGTGCATTTGTTTATTAATATTTTACTATATCGTCTTAATGAATATGAGATGGTATAGTAATAAAACGCTTTATAAGGTTCGATCAAACATAATTCAAATTATTTTTTACTATCCTATATTTTTCTTCTAACTCAAATTTTATGTTTTCCTTATATCAATCGGGTATCAGAGCAATAAAAAAATAAGGCTAGAGAACGCAAATCGTGAATTAATGGACATACCAATTCAAACTACCAATCTCAAGAAATAATCACCTTCAGAAAAAAAAAAAAAATTATATGTAATCATTTTTATTGAGGATCGAAAACCTTACTTGATAAGTTGTTGATGATACTAGCTGATAAAGACTTTCTATTCATAGCAAGACTTTCTACTTATAGCTTATATTCATTTTTATATTACTCAACAAAAATCCTAATTTTGATCGACTACACATCACTTGTTTAGAAATGGTCTAATTGAGTCAAATATAGCAACAATATATTAGTGATAATATTCGTCCCACCATCATCATCATCATCATTATTTTTATAGTTAAATTAAAAGTTTAGTGAATACCATCACATAAAAATAATAAATTCTTAAATATTTTTTAAGAGCTATTATTTATTTGGATGATTTTTTCTATAAAATATTATATTTTGAATATTTTCCAAAAGGTATTTACTCCTTTTTATTTAATTTTTTTCTTTCTAAAAATACATCTAATTTTAAAATATCTAAAATACCTCTAAAAATTTTTTTCTCAAAATTTTTCATTCATTTTTATCAGTTTTTAACTGTTATAATATTTTCTATCATGTTATTATAATATCATATTTTTCGGCCTATAATTAATTTGATTGAGGTTATTAGTCTATTTAGATCATTTACATTGTTTTAAAGTAGACTTTATAATATTTTTATTATGATGATTAAAATATTATAGTATGTCAAAAATAAGGTAATAAATCAAAATATTATAATAAATAAAAAGGAAATAATTTGAATATTTTTAAATAAAAATATTGTTTTGAGAAAAAACGAGTATCGATATGAAAATATCAAAAAATATATGTAATTTTTAGAAAAATAATCTTTTTATTTATTTATGACCTAAGCATTTCGAATTTTAAAATGACAAATATACTGATGAAGTACATCAAACAAATCATTGCGACTGTCCCAACGCAGCCGATCAATCAATACGTTCGACCGAGATGCGATCAGCTTATCCTACTCCGGCGGTGCAACCGAACGTTTAAGTTCAAAGAACATAAATAAGTTTATTTCTTCCTTGCTTTAGACTTACTTATTTATTGAATTCTATGGTGTTGGGCGCAGTGGTTTCGTTTGCTTCAGCCTTCGGTTTCACTTCCTTTCTCTCCCTCCCCTCTCTCTCGAACTCTAAAGAGAGATGATCGAAGCGGAGGGCGACGAGGAAGCCGACGAAGTGAGAAGGTACCTTCCCTGATAACTTCGATCGCGTCATCTTCTTTGCGCAATCGAGATCTTCTAGCGGTGGCGCCGATGGCGAAGTCCGGGCCCGCGGAGTCGGGGTTGGCGGCGGCGAGGGTTGGAGAGTTGAAGAAGGAGCTGCGGCGGCTTGTGAGGGCGATCGCGGAAGAGGACGACAGCAGGATCGAGAAGTTCGAGGGGGCGGCGAGGGCGCTCGCGGCGCTCAAGGACCTCCGCTTCCGCGGGAGCGGGAATTCGAATGGGGCCCTGGCGAGCCAGCGGAAAGCGGAGACCGAAATCGAGGCGGTGGTCGTCCCGGAGCACTTCTTGTGCCCCATCTCCGCGGAGCTGATGAGGGATCCCGTCGTCGTCGCCTCCGGACAGGTTCGATATCTTACCCCTGAATCGTCGGGTTCGCTGCGTTCTGACTGTATCGAATTCGTTTCTGATGCAGAAATGCTGTTATCGCATGAATTCTTGTTCTAAAAAGATTAGGCTTTTGATGATTTCTCTTGAAAATTCAATTTCCCCCATCTGCCTCGCTCTGTTTTTGTTCGTCTTTTAAGTTCCATGTTGCTGATTTATACTTCTTAGAGGAGTTTGATGCAGAAATGTGTTTCTTCTGTTCTTCCATGAGTTTCTTGTCCTGAAAAGTTTAGGCTTTGATGATATTCCATCAAAACTAAAAATTTCCCCTTCTGTTTAGCTCTGTTTTTGCTCGACTTCGAGTTCCATGTTGCTGATTTATATTTCTTGCAGGAGTTTGGGGGGGAGTTGATTTGAGCTGCAATATCAAATGGATCTTTTGATAGATGATCTAAAACCTTGTTTTCTCCTCATTCAGTCCAATGTTCATCCTCGGTGCTCCTCCTCCGTATTGTCGGCTAACTCCGTAGGGAACTATTCCTCTTATGGTCGGATTTACCTGTCATGGCCTCATACTTCACCGCTTTGTCCATATCTTGTGCAAACAAGACCAATATTTCTTTTAGATGTTAAAGAATGAAAGATTGGATTTTGATTGTGTGCTGTTTCAGTTGGATTCTTAGATTGAAATGAAGGAAAATAGAAGACACCACCTACTTCCACTACCTTGAAGCCTTATGCTTTGACTTTGCTGTCAAGACTGTCAAAAAATGTCTTCACCTTTGCTACTCTGCTGCTTGCCCTGTCTTAACTTGCAACCAAAGCAAGGATTTTTCTGTTCTTTTTCTTCCTTTTTTTCTCTGTTGATTTTTGGATGAACCACCGGAGCTTTAGCAATTCGCTGAACACTCCTCGATTTTTGTTTGGTTTCATGTGATGAGACTGGTTTGGCACACCGATGGTTACAAGTGCTCGGTCGTTTGTGTCTTGTTGCAGACCTACGACAGGGCTTTCATCGAGGAATGGCTGAGTTCTGGGAACCGAACTTGCCCGCAGACTCAGCGGGTCCTCTCCGACACCACCCTCACCCCCAATCACCTCGTCCGCAGCATGATCTCCCAGTGGTGCATCGAGCACGGCGTCACCCTCCCTCCACTGGACCAGGGGCAAGAGGAAGGGTTGATCACAGGAAAGGAGCGGAACGCGCTCAGGAGGATCTTCGACAAGATGTCCTCTTCTTCCTCCGTCCCGGAACAGAAGCAAGCGGTCAGGGAGCTCCGCCTGCTCACCAAGCGTAACCGGTCGTTTCGCGCACTCGTCGGGGAGAATCCCGACACGATCCCGCAGCTGCTGTCGGTTCTGTCTGCTCCTGGATTGAGGTGCGATCCCGAGGTGCAAGAGGATACCGTGACGACGATCCTCAACCTCTCGATCCACGACAGCAATAAGAAGATCGTGGGAGACAACCCCCAAGCCATCCCTTTGCTCATCGATGCTCTGCAGACGGGGACGATGGAGACCCGTAGCAACGCCGCCGCAGCGCTCTTCAGCTTATCTGCCCTCGACTGCAACAAGCTCAAGATAGGCGAGTCGGGGGCGATGAAGCCGCTGGTGGATCTGCTGGAACAAGGCAGCCCGAGCGCCAAGAAGGACGCAGGATCCGCCATTTTCAACCTGTGCATGGTTCACGAGAACAGGGCGAGGGCGGTGAGGGGTGGGGCGGTGGGCGTGGTCTTGAAGGCCATCGGTCACCACTCGCTCGTGGACGAGTCGCTGGCGATCCTCGCGCTGCTGTCGAGCGACCAAGACGCGGTGGAGGAGATCGCGAGGGCCGGCGGCGTGCCACGCTTGCTCGGCATCGTAAGGGACAGCCCGTGCGCGCGGAACAAGGAGAACGCAGCCGTCGTTCTCTTCTCTATCTGCATGCATGACAGGACCAAGCTGAGGGAGGTCGGGGAGGAGGAGGAGAAGCACGGAAGCATCTCTCGGCTGGCTCAGAACGGCACGTCGCGGGCACGCAGGAAGGCGGCCGGAATCATAGACAAGTGGAAGCGAGCATCGCGCAGCACGCATTACTCGTGTTAGGCGTCGACGTACGCAAAGAAATAAGGAAGATGCACATCATGTAAATAATAGCTGCTCTTTTCGTTTCAAGCTCGGTCGAGTTGTTGGGTATAAGCGAGAAACTATATTGCTGTTCTACGAGTTCTTCTGAGACGTAGGAAGTAGTGATAGTGATAGTGTTGGTTTTGCCTCGGAATCAGGCTGCAGGACCTGTCCTTCCTCCTCTTCATAGATATGAATAGCTTGTGCAGATTTGCCGGTTTGCTTCCCTTTTCTTCTGCTCCCACATCGTCGATTACTGCTTAGGAGCACTTCAACCCGTGTGACTGCTCGGACCGCGTAACACGAGCTAAACCAAAGGTGGGGGCGGCGGAGGCGGCGTCGGTGGGTGAACCGCGCTCACCTGCTCCGCGGCGGTGACGCAGCAGTGGGGTACCCAGCGCAGCACCGCCGCTCATTGATTGCGACCACCTCCGCCTGCTGTTGTTCACGCGCTCATCCTTCTTTTGGCTGCTGCTTTCCATCTCACACCCCCCGATTCACGGGTCGAAGGCCGGTGGGGCCCTCTCCTTCGGCGCATGCGACGTCGGACTCCGGCGGATCTAGATTTAGCTGACGACCACGGGCCCCTGTAGCGTCCCCACCACAAAAACCATTTCTCCTTCGCCTTACGGTGGCTTACAAACTTCATCCTGTTTGTTCGTACCATCTTACCCCATGCAATTCAAAACATATTAGAGAGAGAGAGAGAGAGAGTATCCTAATGGAGAACTCTTGATTACCCTTGCTCATGTTTAAATTCGATTTGATCGCATGCATCTTTACCCTCAGATTTCCTTTGTAACGATCAAATATGTAAGATAAGTAAATTAGAAACACTATTATTAAGAAAATATGAAATACTTTATTAGATGCACTATCATTAAACAAATATTTTTTTTTTATATTTTCTAAATATTATTGAATAAATCATTCATTCGGTTGAGCAGTCAAAATCTCATCTTTAATCTGATGGCAGAGTTCAAAATCTTATCTTATAATTTTTTAAAATATAATTATTATTTTAATATATTTATAAACCTATTAATAAATAACGTCTGAACCCCCAAAGAGAGGAAAATGAAACGAAAAAAAAATAAAAAAAATATAAGGTATTAATAATAAACAATTGTAGTAAGAACTTGGGAAATGGGCTGTTGGGCTGGAGATTGAAGTAGCCAAGCCAATAATGGGCTTCATGGGCCATGTTCTCCGATTCGTCTCAACCGAGGGAGAGGATCTATCTACTAAAAAATGAGATGTGACATTTTTGCTTTTTTACGAAAGTGACTTCGATGTTGGCTTGTTCATAAAAACAAGCTAACATTGAAGTCACCTCTCTGAGAGTTATCACATTCACATTTCTTCCAATATAATAAAGTTTTATATGGGCGCTTAATGATTCCGATACATCAAAGTTGTGGGGGGAATGATGTTGATAGTAAGCTTGGAGTAGATTTATAGACTTTGAATTTATCTAATGTGATGTTGATATAGACTAAGATCGATGTTAGGTGGAGTTCTCGACCGCTAAGTTAATTCCGATACGGATTAGGTAGTCAAAAAAAAAAAATTATGATTTAAAAAAAAATCAAGTTTTACTGACGTGATGAGACTATTCGTTTTTAGTCTTTTATATTATTTTATAGATTAAAATGTCATATGTCAAGTTTTGATTATAGACAAATATTTTCTTAATTTTTTATTATAATAACTCACACTATAATAGGTTTGGAGTTTTGGATCACAACTTGTCCTCCTTTTATCTCTCACAAAAATGCCATGTGTGATGCTTGCAACAAAGAATACAAGAAGAATGCATGCTATCTCTCTTAGGACATCAACATCTTCCACACCCCTTTCACTGTCATCTTCTTTTTTTTCTATCCTCAGGTAACACCAAACACATAAATCCAACCGAAAAAGGATGCTGAAGAGTTCTTCTTAGGCCACAGATTGGGAGGATTTCTGTGATCTTTTGCTCCAGACATATTTGACACTTTTGCTTGATCACCCTATTGAATGGTTCATATCAGGATTATAGAGTGTCTATCGCGATATTGTTTTAATGAATCATTCGTTCAGTAATAATTTATTTTTATTGATTTGAGCATAATATAATATTAAAAATTATTAGGTTTAGATAGGCATTATACAATTTTACTGGACCTCAAAAAGTATTCTTGAAATGACAAAACATCTTATATGGAAGGAATTAGACAAATAATCCGAATTCAATTTGGCTCGGATATTAATTATAACATACATATTTCTACATAATAGTATATTTCCTTGGCATCTTCTGAATCTAATCAAAGACATATTCTCAATCTTGCATAATTTTGATGCTTTCTATATTTAATGTGTGTTTAGGAAAAGTAATAACAATTTTGAAAAAATGAGTGACCTTCTGCTCTTCTTTGATATGAGGGGAAATTGTTGTAATAACATTTGCAAGTAATTATAATTTCTTTTAGAAAAAAATTATTATTATTTATTGAACCACACTTATTTTTATGCCTAAAAATTTGATCCGATAGTAATATATTGGACCTATTTATCAAACTCGGTTATCAAATATTGAAATTCAAAATCTCATTCGATATATTCATTCCTAAAACTTGAGAATAACAAATGTATTTATCAAAGGTTAAGGGTTTGAAACTCACATCATATATATTTTTTCTATATTTAAAATATTGATATGGTATTTATATTTGTAAACCTAAAATATTGATTTAATAATAATGTATCAGAGTTTAAAATCTTAATCAATATATTTTTAAGATATATTATGTGTTTTTATTTGGAAAAAAAATGCAAGGAAAGAAGAAGAAGTGTGAATCATAATTGAATGATTTCTGCTATGTCAATTAACATTTAAGTATAAATTTCATGAGAAATAACAAAATGTTGCATGAAATTGTTGAATGATATCTGCACTAGAAATACAAAAATATAGGAAAAGATGTGAGGAATGAACCTATCGAGGATTCAAATCATCCTTTCATTAAAAAAAATCCGAAAACCCAAATAAATCACACTCAGGATTGACCCATCAAGTGCGTGAAGCATTACGAAGAACTGAGAGGTGGGATTCTAATTTCCATTACAGTCAATGGCCACCGAGAATGGAACAGTAGGAGGAGCTGTGGGCAAGTGGAACTTATATTTCCCATGAATCGATTGGTGGGTTCTGCACTCGTAAGATAAGATCCCATCTTCTCCGTGCCTTTTGGTACCACAACACTATCATAGTGTGCAACCATGTGCACTTATTTATGACCTCCCCCAAAGAACAATGCCATACTACCTTTCACAGACACTTGATTCTTATTTTGATCAAAAAAATTGTATTTTAGTTGTTGTAATTGAAATGGTCTAATTTTCTTGAATTAATTTGCTACCATTTTTACATTGTTCCATTATGTTTGTGAAACTCTTGTTAATTCTCTTGGAGCAGACACTGTTCTTCCCCAATGATCTTCCTTCTTAAAGATTTAATTGTTAGGAAAGAATTCAATAAATGCTTAAAAATCTTTTTATGAGTAATTTGGTTTACAGTTGATGTATGATACAAGTCCAAATAAAAAGAGTGCTGTATAGATATTTTGAAGCAACACTAGAAAAGAGAGGCATATGTAAGATCTAAACTCATGATTTGGTTTGATACCATCTTAAAGAATTTGATGTATGTGATCACAACTCTCAGGAGTTCAAACTATTACAAAATGATCAGTACATGCTTTATCATTCTTAGGACATGGAGTTGCCTCACTGCCTCACTCCCCTGTGCTAGTAGTCCTTCTTGACCTGTAGGGACAGGAGACACTTTGGATAAGATGTTGGTTGGTTGATGTTGATGATGCAGATGCCTTTTATTTCTTTTGTTGTGGGATGATAAATATGGTAAAACCAAAAAGGTAAATTTGCACTGGAAAAGATGAATCATAGTTTATGTTTTGGAGATAGAAGCTGGCAATCTTATTCTCATTCAGTGGTGCAAGTTATTCAGCTAGAAACATGTCTGCAAGGACATGCTTATAGGTTTTCTGTGAAGCCAAACCAAAGACTGGGCAAGTTTACTGTCATACTAGTCAAATCTTGTTCAACCTTTCACTTCATGGGTTAGCCAAAAACAATCCAAAGGAAAAAGTTCTTGCAAGAAACATTGATCACCTCCTCAGGGCACAAGAAACATTAATTAGTATGACAGGCAGACCCTGTGGCTGCAATTGCTTCAGAAGTTGCAGTAGTCCCAAGGTATTCATTCACCTCCCAGCTGGAAGGATTTGGTTCCATTGCCTCTTAGGAAATCTTTCTTACAGACAGCATTGAATGAGGTATGAAATGCACCAGCCAAACAGGCAAAAAAAGAAAGAAAGAAATAGAAAAGACTACCACTTTAAGATCATAATTTATCTCAATAGGAATTCCTTTAGAAAGATTTTCTTGGTTTATTCTGTTTTTTTTTTTCTTTTGAGTGCTGAAAGCACCACCAGCATCACCATCACCAACACATAAGAAGTTAAAGCCTTCCATTTGGGCAAGTTGGGATGGCTGCAAAGGTGTTGGACAGGTCAAGAGGGTTTGCCCACATCATGATCACATAAGAATGGCATCACCAAGCTCTGGTGACACCCATGGCAACAACTCCTCGAACCCTCTGTCCTATTACTTTTGGCGAGACTTTGAATGCTTTGATTCTTCCAACACTCTCTTACATTGGCAGCCAATAGACTTTTCTTGTGGGAATGAGAAGTGTGAAAACTGGCCACCTCTCTCGTCTCATTCGTTTCCACCAGCAATTTCTTCCAGAAGAAAACTGACCACCTTATATTTGGCTAGAGAACCCACGGAATAGTACACATGGAAAGCTAAAGAATAGGAAGCAAAAGAGAGAAATGGAGAGAGAGGGAGCACTCATTTCCTCCACCAATACCTTCCAAAATGTCAGCAACTATGTATTGGATAGGTAGGAAGCCAACGCTTATGGAGAGAGAGAGAGAGAGAGAGAGAGAGAACTCTGTATGCGTGTGCATTGGATCATGATGATGAGGTGGTGGTGTTGCTCCTCTATAAATTCTGATCTCCTATTTAGTTCCTCACCAATCAAACAAGCCATCATCATAGCCTGGCCTTCTTCTCCCTTCTGCAGCCGAACCCAATTTGTCCCTCAGGAGAGCACACGAGCGCCATGGGAGACCACAAGAACCAAGGCTTCCAGAACCCGAGGCATGTGGTCAAGAAGGTGCTCGCCAGGCCTCAACACGAAGGTGACGGAGCCATTGTTAGGAGGAGCATCGGAAGGTGATGATTCTTGACCTCTCCTACGTTATTCCTTCTTCCGTTCATCAGATTTCCATGATCTTCTCCTCATTGATTGGTCTTCTCCAGGGGAGAACTAAGAAACTTGGATCCCTTTCTGATGTTGGATGAGTTTTCCGGTGACCTACTGGATCTATATTCTCTTTCTTTATCTCCATTCTTGTTCTTGCTAGTGATGTCTGATTCGATTTCCTTATGCTTTTACGTATCTCACGCACAGTTTCTGCTCCTGCGGGATTTCCTGATCATCCTCATAGAGGTTTGACTTCAGTTCGCTCACTGTTTCTTGGTTTGACTTTACCATCATGTCAACAATCTATATATCCCCTGTCTTCTTCCCTGTGTTAATGTCAGGTTTCGAGACCGTCACCTACATGCTGGAGGTAATGAATTTGCTGTCTCAGAAACATATAGATCAGATCAAAACGTTAGCTGAAATGTGATTCTGACATGGGATCTGATGGAACTCAGGGCGCCTTCACTCACCAGGACTTCGCTGGCCACGAAGGCACCATCAGAGCTGGCGATCTGCAGGTACAACTCCTCTGAACAAGATTTCATCAGCTCATGTCGATGACTACCGGAGTTCTTCCTCAGTGGATGACCGCTGGTAGAGGAATCATTCATTCGGAAATGCCTGCCGGGGAGGGAGAGAACAAAGGATTGCAGCTATGGATCAACCTCTCCTCCAAAGACAAGATGTAATAGCTCCAATCCTCTTCACCTCGTTCTCGCACCAAGCTCTTCATACCTTACATGCTCTTCTCGTTCTTCTCAAGGATGGAGCCCAGATATCAAGAACTGCAGAGCAAAGACATAAGCAGGGTGGAGAAACATGGCGTCGACGTCCGAATCATAGCAGGGGAGTCCTTCGGCGTCCGCTCGCCGGTCTACACGCAGACTCCGACAATGTACCTAGACTTCACCCTGCACCCTGGCGCCGAAGTCCACCAACACATCCCTCAACCTTGGAACTCCTTCGTCTACATCATCGAAGGCGAAGGCGTCTTCGGGGACCCGAACGCATCCCCTACGACGCGCCACCACGCGTTGGTGCTGAGCCCCGGCGACGGCCTCAGCGTGTGGAATCAGGCCGCGAGGCCTCTCAGGTTTGTGCTCATCGGCGGGCAGCCATTGAACGAGCCGATCGTGCAGTACGGTCCCTTCGTGATGAACGCGCAGGCGGAGATACAACAGGCCATCGAGGACTACCACTACTGCAAGAATGGGTTTGAGAAGGCCAAGAACTGGAAGTCACAGCCGCATATGAACTGAGCTGGTGGTGCAGTGGAGGTTGCAGCAGTAGACAGAGCAGTGCCAACATCATCGAGCATGCACTCCACTGATGTGATGAGGGGCTGGAAGATTTAAGGAAACACAGTAGAATCAAGTCATTATTGGAGATCATCTTTTCTTGATCTGAAAGCAACGTTTTCTCTCTTTATTTTTCAATCAAGGTTGTCATAATTTACTCTTGTTCGAAGGGGTTGGTGTTGATGGCTGCCTTCACAGTTGGTCTTGAATCATTCTGCACCCATATCTGCTGGATTGATGTCTGCTGCAGCTTCCTGAACATGTTTTGTCTTCCCAGCTAATGCAGGAGTCATTTCATCTCCATGTCACTGATTCAGCCCCACTCCTCCCTAAGGCAAAATATGTTGCCACTTCTTATCAGATCATCCAACTTGGTTGTCATTTCACTGTATAATATGAACTCAACTTTCAAATATCATGTTGTGCCATTGAACAGTTTTCAGACTCTGTTAAATCCTGAAGCATTTGGGAGCAGTAAAACATGTGTTCAGCACTCGATATAAATGTAGGCCCAAAAGTTACTAATCCAACTTGTTCAATATTTTTTCTTTTGGAAAACTTAATAATATATTGATCAAACTTATGAGACCATATGGTTTAATATTTTATAGGTTAATTCATCAATTAACCATATTTCAAATATAAAAAAATAACAAAAAAAACATTTTCTTGGAAAAGAGTAAACAATTATGTGTACAATATGAAGTTTGGATTATTCTAACCACTAATGCTTTTGTTAGCTTGGTTTGTGTAAATTGCACAAAGTTCTCATGAGTCTAAAATTTACTTACAATAAAATAGAGTGAAACGTCATATTTAATTAGGTGTTCACTACATTGCCGAAGGGACAAAAAGGTCATTGATGCATTCTATAGCTTGTGATCTTGATTTGACGATTCGAGCTCGAACTCGAACTTAACAACGTTTCGATTGAGCCAACTATCTCCTTGATTAAGGCCGGCTCGGCCCGGCCCGGCCCGGTTCATTTCATCGGGTGGGCCACATTCTCTTTATCAAAAAGAGCAAGGCGGTCAGGATTTGCTCCTCGCCGTCGCTGCTGCGCCAACTCGATCGTCCCCCGCCGCTGAGCCGAGCCTCCACGAGACGAGATCCGGCGAGGGATGGCGGCTCCCGTAAGTTGTTGTCTTCTTCTTCTTCTTCTCCTCCCCCTTACCTCCTCTCTTGTTCTTCCATCTTCCTTCCTCTTTCCGGACCCGCGGCGACGAATCCGGGGGGTGGAGGCCCAGATCGGCCGGTTTCTCGTTCGATCTCTTTGCAGGTCGCCCGATCCGGACGCTGGGGTGATGAGGTCTCGGCTTCGATGCCTTTTCCGGTGTCTAGGGTAGATTCGAACCGGATTCCGCCTGAGTCTTAAACCTTGATATGTTTGTCGTTTGTAAGTTGTTTCAATATGCTACTGCTGGTGATTTCCTCTGTTCTTATCACTCTTTACTAACTGATACATACTGATTTTTTTTGTTTTCTATAGAATTTTATCTTTGGCACGATTTGTAGAAATTTCTAACAAGTTGTTCTAGAACAAAGTAAATTTTACTGGATGAGTACTTAAGAGACCTTTTAAGATTCCGTTCTGACTTTAGATAGTTGGAAAATGATTTCTTTTGTGTGTGATGAAAGTTCGTTTTTGTATCTCGTAGTTGTGGAGTAAAGAACGTTTGTCTTCTCGTCTCTGAACTGTTTTCATCTTTCTTACAAGATGTTTGCATGAATTGTGCATGCAGGACTCTTGCCCTTCGATAAAGAACATCCTTCTCCTTGACTCTGAAGGGAAACGAGTAGCTGTCAAGTACTACTCAGATGATTGGCCAACCCTTTCTGCAAAATTAGCATTCGAGAAGTCAGTGTTCACCAAGACGCAGAAAACAAATGCTCGAACTGAAGGTGACATATGGAAAGCCATTTAATTCAACTTGGATATTATTTGTATGGTTATACTTTACTTCTTACATGCTGAACCTTTTTCTTATGAAGTTTGCACCTCAGTTATCTATAGGTTGCCACAGATCTTGATGTATAAGTTTAATGGAGTAATCCATTTAATGATTCATAAGTTAACTCTTTGGATTAATTTAAGCAGGATTAAGAGATCTTTTTATGGTTAAATTTAAATCTTAATGTTGATGTTTTAAAAGTAAGGATTATATTTGTTGTTCATCTGTACATGATTATTGATTTTTTTATGATATATTTGGAGGTTGATCCCTTTTAGTTGTAACTTATCAGGATTATTTGTGTCATGTTTAGGTTAAGTAAGACAACAACAACAACAACGACATGATATTAGTCTCAGTTATTAAGGTTAGCAACATGGCTTAGTATGTTGCTTTATTATGGGCAGTCCCAGAATATTTGAATCGCCCTGTCTTCCAAGATATAGTGCTACTGCTATGTAAACTAGAATTTAGAAATTTTTGTTAACATTTTTTTCTAAATCATCTCCAACCTTTTCATTTGTTAATGATTGTCGACTGCTGTATGTTCTGAACCAGCATGCTATGATGCTGTGGCTGGAATATTAACTACTGCTGTCATGTACATTTACAATTTTTTTTCTGCGATGATTGTTTTAGTCATGCATTTTTGGGCTAATTACATATTACCCCCGTGGTTAGTTACCTTTAGTATCCTGATCCCTACACTTTAAAAAGTTACATTGATATCCTCATAGTTATAAAAGTGAAACATCTAAGTTCATTTATCCTAAAGCCGACGATTTTATCAAAGGAAATTTAAAACAAAGGGCAAAAAGATAATTTTAGCGTTCCGGTTGGTGGTGGCGGGTGGTGGTGCCGCTGGGGGCCGCGGGTGATTGTTGTGGATGAGAAGAGCAACGATGAGAGGTGAGGATTGCTCTGCATCAGCGTTGACATTGATGCAGATACAGGGCGGCCCTCATCTCTCGTCGTTGTTCTCCTTATCTACAATAGCCACCTGCGGCCCCCAACGGCACCGTCGTTCGCCATCACAAATTGGAACGTTAAAATTATCTTTTTATCTTTTGTTTTTGTGTTTCCATTGGTAAAACCGACGGCGTTATGGTCAATTGACCTAGATGTTTTACTTTCGTAACTATAGGGATGTAATTTTTTAAAATGTAGGGACTGGGATGCTAAAGGTAGCTAATTACAGGGGGGTAATATGTAATTAGCTCTGCATTTTTCTGTAAATAAGACTATCATCTAGGAACCCTAATGTGCTGTTTATGGAAACCAGAAGTTAATCTAAAGGGCCTCAATGTGGTGTAGCGAACAATAATAATAAACAAATAGCACTTGAATTCAAGGGAAGGATGAACTTCACTGTCAGTAGGACATCAAACTACTCTTGAGGTGAGGAGACCGATTTTGGAGCCCACAGTACAACATGACATTGACATCAACATCACACACAGGGCTTGACATCATGTAGGATGCTGGAGACAGGCTGCTTGAGTTCAGAGTAGTACACAAGTGAGTTCATCAAGGCTCCATCGGCAGTAGTTAGTGACGGCTTTGATTATGACAGTCAACAAAGAGAAGATAGTGTTTTGTTGGGTTCGCTATGACTGTTGGGCACCAGCTGCGATGGACAGAGATTGATGGTGAGTTATGACAACAGTGAGGGGAGATGTAGTGGGTTGTACCCAGGATGCTAATTTTTCCAAGATGGGATTTCAGAATATAATAGAAAGTTTCTGAAGAGCTGTGATCAAAATTAACTGAAATATTAATAATGAATTGAGCCGTAAAATAAACTGGCTCGATGTTCCTAATTAATTTGACTTGAACATGGTTGCATCATTTGGTTTGTTATTTATTACCAAGCCAAATAAGATGTCATGAAATAACAAATAAAGAAATAATTACTGAGTTTTTGGTTTCCTCCATTTTTTTCCTCTTTTCTAATACATATAGGTCCATTTCAAAAATAAACTTGAAGACATAACTTTATACCATACCAATGAAGGCATTGCTTTATCCATGCCAACACTTTATACCATTTAAGCTTGATTGCACACTGATGGTTGCAACTAGATGTTGGCTACTGTTGGCCTTCATTGCAAATCTTAGTTTTATAGCAAATCTTTGGTTGGCTATATTTGAAGTTTTCTAAAGAGCAAATGAATTAACTATAGTAGGTTTTCATCATTAGCTTGAACCTATATCCTTGGACATCATGTAAGGTGCAGAAATATTTAGTTTGAGAATGCATCCCACTGTGGCATCTTTGAGTATGATATCCTTGTGTATATCAAACATTGTGATGAGCCTAAAAGTTCACAATTTGAAATCTTACCGTTTTAGTAGTGCTTGTTGCTTGTTCTTCTAAGCAGTATAACCATGTTAAAAAAGTTCATCATGAAAATGAAGTTCTTGGGATTGTGTTTGATTTGGATATGCTTGCTTGGAACTTTTACAGTACTGAGGTTAAGCAAGGGACTACAAACTTTCATCAGAAGATTGGGAGTAAATGGGTTAGTAACTTGCTGTATTTGGGAGGGTTGAGCTTTCAAAGTTGCAACTTCTACAAGTGAAGCATTTTGCTCATGTCTTTTCTCTAGAGGGTAAATTGCTCATGTGACAGGATTTTGGCAGTGTCTCAGAAAGCCTTCTGATTTCTCATTTTCACCTTGAAGTTGTTCATTATACTCCTGGAATATAGTTACAAACTTACATTTACCTAGAATGTTTTTCATATTTTGTGTGATCATCTGTGTAAATCAACGTGCATAAAATTTTTGTTCGTGTCTATAAGAGAACATGAGGGTTTTCTGGTGTACCGGTTCCGTGTGGATTATACAATGCCTCGCTTTATGATGAGATTGGGACATTTTGTGATCTCAAATTATATTTGTTCTATCTAGTTGTGTATGTGCGGTGCTGGAGATTTGACTGATTTCTATACAACTGAATGCTACTGTGTTTGACTTTTACAGCGGAGATAGTTATGTTTGATGGCTACATTGTCGTATACAAGTTCATTCAAGATCTCCATTTTTTTGTTACCGGAGGGGATGATGAGAATGAGCTCATTCTAGCAACCGTTCTTCAAGGATTCTTTGATGCAGTTGGTCTTCTCCTAAGGTCTTGTCCGTTGTTGTTACTGTTGGTTTTCACGAACTGGTTCCTCAGTTCATTAGCCATTGGTCATGTCTATGATGCTTCCCTAATTTTCTTAATTGCATCTCATGGTTCCAGGAACAATGTGGATAAAAGAACAGCACTTGAGAATCTGGACCTCATCCTTTTATGCCTTGATGAGATTATTGATGGAGGGTATGGCTTTATACTTTTTGTGCGATCATTTTTATGATTATTTAACAGTGGTCACATAAACATGTTTACGTGATAAGATCTGGTAATGCTGTATCTTTCAAAGTTTAGTTGTTAGATTAAAACAATGATTCTTTAAATTGAACACTTGTAGGATAAGCATATCGAGAAATGGCAGTTCTATTGTATAAAAGTAACCAGTCAATTTAGTTTTCTTAATTCTTGAATAACATAAAACTGGTTTGCACAAAACTCTGTCCTTTATAATGAAAAACATTGTCATTCACATGCCTAGATATGTGTATATTCATGTAGCTGTATGTGGCAGCAGTGGTTTTAGCAAGGTTGATATTGTTAGTGGAGGTAAGGGACGGTGAACTTATTTTCTGTTTTCAGCCTTTATGGGGATAAGAAGAAAGAGACGTCCCATACGGGATTAACCCCAAACAATACAATAACTCCCTTAATATTGGTCATTTGCTTTGCATGTGGAAGAATGAAAAATTGGAACATAAATTTGTTGAGTTCCTAGTAAATTGAGTTCTTTCTATAAATATGACTATAAGTAGTCCAGAGAATATCTTTCTGCCCACTTTGTGGTCAAAGGCATCATCCTAAATGGGAGTTTCGTTCTCATACTCTGTCAAAATTGAAGATTACCTAGCACAAATGTTGGTAAGGGTGTTTCACAAGTGAGGAAGTGTCCAAGGGCCTCGTTGACATTCGTAAAAGAATCTCCTATGGTAGATAGCCATGGTCCTGACTCCCTGAGCCATCTCAATACTCAGGATTTGGTAAACTGAGTGAACAAAATTATTCGACTATAAAAAATTTAATGAGCAATGGTCTTCGTATTGAATATCACTTTGTAGTCCTAGTGAAATTTATCCTTGTAGATTGCAAACCTCCATATGTAATCAATGCTTATGCTGTGATAGTGCACTTTGTATGTTCAGGCTACAAGGAGTTTGACGGTTGATTTCTTTTTGTTAAAATGAAAATTGTATGTGAACTTGTGATCGGGATCATATTCCGTAGAAACAATACTGTATAAGCATCTTCATTATGGTTTTGTGTCCCCAACCGGAGAGTCGTGATTCTAGAATTTTGTAATATGCTGACACATCTATCACTTTGTTGCACAGCATCATTCTGGAAACTGAAGCTAGCATAATTGCTGGAAAGGTTGCAACCCACGGCCTGGATGGAGCAGCATCCTTGTCTGAGCAGGTCCAATTTTCTGTTTCATCAAAGTCAACTCACTAATCAAATTGATATATATATATATATATATATATATATATATATATA